TGTGTTTCTGGGACGCCCTTGAGCGCCGACCTTCGGTGCCCAACGACCTTGAGAGCTGACCCTCGGTGCCAACCTTGAAATGTGACCTTGAACTATGATCTCGAAGTGTGACCTTGAAATATGACCTTGAGTATTTGAGTGGCCTTGAACATATATGACCTCGAGCACTCTCGACCTTGAGTGGGTGTGACCTTGTAGGAGTGAACGACCTTGAGATGTTGAAGGGAGCGCCGACCTTCGGTGCCAAACAACCTTGAGAGCTGACCGTCGGTGCCAACCTTGAAATGTGACCTTGAAACGTGACCTTGAGTTTCCGAGTGACCTTGAGTTTTCTAGCGACCAGGCATGTCGCGTAATGCGAGACTGAGATGGAGGCTGCAGGAAAGAATTAGAATCCGCCAACTGCAGTAGCAGTGAAGGAAGCAGAGGTGCAGAGAGTGGATATATTGTTAGCAGATGGAAGCAGAGTTGAAGAGGGTGGAAACAATGTTGTCAGAAGACAAAAGCAGTGGGGCGGCCAAGGAGTGCACCAACAAAAGTAATAAGTGCAATAAATGTGACCATATCAATATAATACCAAAGACCGTATCCTTCAACGAAACCAAAAACAAAGTATATACCATGTATGCATGGCAATATGCGTACAGAAAAGCAAAGAAGTAGCTGGGAGGTAGCAGATAAATGTAGGTTTGGAAGGCGAGTGCAACTATTCGAAGAAGTGCTAAAAAAGTACTTGACACTAGATTATAGACAAAAAGTGTTTACAGAAAGGTTTGAAAATGTAAATTAGTAAAGTGGAGGTATGTCTGTGATATGCATAAGATTAGTATGAAGTTAGGTTTTGTAAGTTTTAACTGTAAAATAAAATTGTAATGTAATATAAAGAAAAAATTATATTGCAATCGCGATTAATAGAATCAAACGGTTCAATGTCGATGCAGTGTGATTGTACAAATGAAAAGATGTTTTGTAATTTGTGTAAATATTCCTGTAAATACATATCGATAACCATTTACATGCTGCTTCCTCACAACTCACTGAATAAGAAAAGCTAATATGTTTTAATAAGTGTTTTATTTAAAAAAATTATGACATGATAAAGTTCTTATACAAATAAAATACGTTGGATAGTGTACACATGGTGATAGGCTTGGAGTGATAGAAACATGCAGAGCTAGCGGGTTCTAAACGAGGCTGTTCGGCAAATTCGATGACGGGTTTGCGGGAAAACCGTCTCAAGCAGTTTGCTTGTTCGATTCCTTTGAAGAAAATTCGATCTGCATGCTTCGTTAACTCATCCATAATTTTTGGAAAGGTATGTAGTGGAGTAAAACCAGAGTTCCAATTTATACAGTGATGATGCTGCATCAACCAAGTAGCTTGTGTTTGTAAGTCCGGTGGGAGCAGATCCAGTGCAAAAGGGGGCTTGAAGACATGGTGACGTATTTGTTGTCCATCATACCCAGCATGTTCTTTAATAATAAATTTATTATGTTCGATTTTGAATCCTTGCACATCCAAAACAAGATTCATATTCGCAAAACAGCAAACTGATGGAAAACACACTGTTCAATGTTCATTGTCTTGTCTTGTCTTAAATGTTTAAGTTTAGAGACGTATCGCTCAAGAGCTTTGTAGTAAATGAGCTTCATAATAAAACTGACCTGGAAATGTGGGAAATGAGGCTTTTATAGACTCATAAGTTTAACGTTGTTTAATGATTTTTGTCAAAGGGTTGTAATAAAAAGAGAATAAGGCAATAAGCGGATGTGTTTGGTGGTATATTTTCACTTGTTTCAAATTCTACTCTCATTACAACCGAACCGGTTTGAATACTTTCCTTCTACTTAGAACAGTCGATATGTGAGATGGGTGCCAAACTTTTACAGTTATCAGGGGTAAACAATGGTTCATTTTCGGATTCATAATATGAATGACGAAATTTTGAAAACATGTCATACAAGGCAGCATATTTGTTATTGGGGAAGTCCAGATCGAGATCATTATAAGGAAATCGTTCTGTATTTAAAAACACTCGAACATTGGTTAGATTGCAGTGATCGAACGTAGACATATTTGACTGTAGTTGATTTTTCTTATCTGTCTGAAAAGCGAGTATCACATGCCTCGGTGTTTCTAGCTTCGTAGTTGTTTTCACTGGCCACGTATGTCTAGTCGTAGCGGGAAGGGAGGGATACTCAACGAGTTCCCAACTCCGGAAGTACAGTGGAGTATCACTATTTTTGTTAACAAGTTTTGTCAAAGCCAATTGTCGACGGAAACATGAGGGACTCGCCACTGTATTTTTTCAATAGTAATTTGGGGTGTATCGGCGGTAGCGACCTTAATTGAATCAATATCATCATTACTTCGTATGAGTACTAATTCCTGTTTCATATTCAATATAATTTTGCGGTAGTCTTCAAAAAAGCCCATCCACGTGCTTAGAGGAATGCATACCTTGAATGTACCGGTTACTAAAAAGTGCAATTCTTTGGGATACCAACCAGCATTTTGAAATTTAGTTCTTACATTTTGATTGTAAGAAAGATAACCTTTCAATGTTGAAGTGAGTCCGACGTTTCGAACAGAATCAACAAGAACACTCATATCGAATTTCTCGGAACAAAAAGCTAAATGCGTTATTGAAAAATTTAAAGTTTTCAGCTGGAGAACCATCAGCTTTAGTGAGTGTTCCTTCAAGGTAAAGATAGCTTTGGGACGGTAAAGTGAAGGTATCCAATTCTTGAATAGCAATTCGGATTTCATCATTATAATCAAAATTAGCATTAATGTACGGTTGATAGATGTGATACTCCATTTCAGTAATGGAGGTGTCAAGTATTGGCTGTTCTGTCACGTTCAAAATGCTCATGTTAGATCAATTGGAATCCCAACGACTTTAAAAACTGACGACTATCAATCGTTAGACGACGTCTATAATTTGGACGAGGTGACGGTACGTTGGTTGGTGGAGTACTAACAGTAGAAACTCTGCGAATATTGTTTTAATAGGTTCGATTGGAAAGCACCGAATGTGGAATATTGTATCTAATACCCATTACGTATTTTGCGCAAGTGTAAACGTATGGTAATGGTTTCGTTTCTCAAGTTTATAAGATCGTTGTTTTGATCAAGTACTTTAACAGTCAAGGTGTTGATCGTACTAACACTCACAGGAAAATAAATTATGTTTTGCGGTGCTTCCACTATTTTATACCCAGCCGGAACAGTTGGGAAAAATTGATGGATTGTGTGACTGGGTTGTCCATTTCTGAAAGAACCTGCAGCTATGCTACACTCGATACAGAGCGCATTTACTTTTAATATTTCTATTGCGAAATCGGACTCATGCAGTATATTTTTTTGCAAAATTCGGGGTTCAAAACCCAACATGCGACCAAGAAGAAAAATCGATGTCACAATCGATGAAGTCATAGGAAACGCAAACACAGCTGACCACAATTATGTGAGTTGAATGATTGAATGGACTCATAATTGTATTCAATATCAGAGACATCATGATTGCTGCGAAAATAATGCACAGCTTATTTGGGGGGACGTAAATTACCATATCAATCAAAGTATGTGACATGATTGTTGTTTTTTACATATGCAGTCCAGTAGGATCCAACACCTGATGAATTATCTAAATTAATAATACCGCATTCTTTAGTAGCTCTAATTCGATGTGGTAAATCATCTCTCATTCAATGGTACGTCTAAGCGCGCGTTAGTTGTAGGCCCAAGCGGATCTGGAAAAACTAATGTAATGATCAGTTTGTTAACACATCCTAATGGATTGAGATTTGAGAACGTTTATCTGTGCTGCAAGTCGCTGTACCAACCCAAGTACAAATATTTACGGGAACTACTAACACTGCTTTGCGAAATAGGGTATTATGAATACAGTGAAGATGAAAACATTGCGACACCAGAAAACATTAAACCAAACTCCGTAATAATTTTTGATGACGTTTCATCATGTAATCACGATATAATAAGACAATATTCCAGTTTTGGACGACATCGTAATACAGACTGTTTCTATCTTTGTCAAACGTATACTGCCGCACCCAAACATAATTTAAGGGATAACATAAACCTACTCATACTATTTCCTCAAGACAATTTGAATCTGAAACATATCTATGATGATCATATCAGTCTAGACATGTCATTCAATGAATTTAAAAGCTTGTGCAGTTTGTGTTGGCCACATAGCTTTGTAGTGGTTGATAAAGATTCTCCAAGTATAGAAAGTGTTTTAGCAGCAACATCAGTTTGTAACAGTAATATATATATAGTATAGTTATATATATATATATATATAACTATACTCTGTGCAAATCTTAGGGTAGTACTTATATAACATCGAAGGTAGACAGATGGATCCAAAACTGGCCAAAGAACTAGTCAAAACCAGGAAAGCGGTTAAACAAAAGTATGTCACTCTTAAATCAGATATTGCAGCAACGGAAAGGGAATTACAGTAAGCCGATCTCAGAACCGTTGCAAAAACTCTTATCAAAAGTTGAAGGACCTAATTGCAGATCAAAGAAGAACAATCTACACCCCCATCAGTGACATCCACACCGAAGGAACGACAATCATTCAATAAAGAATTGTCAGAAAATTTATACCAACGATATTTACCACCTGTCAACTACAGCTTTCTCGATGATACATATTCAAACCTTCCGGAGCCAAATCGCAGTCAAGATGTACCTACAGTGGAAGAATTTACTCCAAATGCTACGGTGTTGGAGACAGAAATCTAACAAATCAATGAAAGCGTGGCTCGATTGGCGCAAGAATTACACCAACTAATTGATACACCTGCATATCAAGAGTATCTTGAAGGCTTTCACCCTGTACCTAGAAATTATGTTGATGAGTCAATTCGTGGGAACGAGCGCGAGTTTGATCGTTATTATGGATTAATACATGATATTGTTTCTAACAAGTTTCAACTCGGCAAAAGTCCGGTTACGCTAGACGGAGCAAATATCGTGGTGAAAAATGTAACATATCCTGGCACACCTGGATTATATGAACTGCTTTTCAAAAAAGAACCAATTGGTTATAAGCAGAGTGATCTAGATCAGTATATGGATATGCTACGTCGCACAAATGTATATCGCAGAAATTTTGAACCTAATACTCAAATACATGGTAGTACGTCCTACAAATATCGAAATATAATTCGACCATACTTACATCAGCATAACATTTTAAAGCAGCAGGGCATACTCAGATCCAGCTCCTTTGAGAAACCCCCACCTCCTAAGAGTCAGTTGCGACGAACGCACTCATTCAAACATACAGGTCAAGGAATGCTCCACTTATCAAATAAACCAATCGACTACATCTATTTTGATGATCCAAATGAATTGGTTGCTCGTTCACGTCTGTTGTTAGCTTCACAGTATGCTGGTAATAATGGACATCGTAACGAGATTATGTCTATAATTGAGGAGTTACGTGAATAAAAAATTATAAAATGAATTTGTAACGTAATATTACTTTATTTACATTGCTGCAGTTGTAGGATCAAGATGCCAATTTATAAATTCCGCTCAAAAAAGACGGACACTGCTGCAATCTTCAGTACTTTTCTAAGATCCAACCTATCCAGCGTATGCGTGGTACCCATTTATTTCTCCACATCCAGCGAGTAGTTTTACACATTTAACGACAGTAGCAAGGACTATATCGTCCCTGTGACTGGGATAGTTGATAGTATAAATGTTCCGCCAAAAGTAAGAGTGACAATTGGTTTAAATAGTCTCACCGACAACATACCTCTCACGAAAGGTGAGATTCTCCATTTCTACACATCTAAAGAACCCAGACCAAAGCAGCTTATAGCAAATATTGTAATGCGCTGTCATTGATAAAACAATGATCGACTTTAAAAAGCAGGTTGTTGAAGAACTTCATGAACCAGCTCGCCGAAATTATAGACGTCGGTGCGTTATTGTGAAGGGGGTCAACGATCTCCTGCAGGCAGATTTGGTAGAAATGCTTTCGTATCAGAAAGTGAACAAAGGATTCCGATATATTTTAATTGTTATCAACGTTTTTAGTAAATTTGTGTGGGCAGAACCAGTCAAACGAAAAACCGGAAAAGATGTTACAACTGCAATGAGGGCGATTCTGTCGCACATGAAATCAATTCCAAAAAATTTACAAACAGACTTGGGTAAAGAATTCTACAATAGTGATTTGACGAAGTTGATGGAAGAGTACAAAATTAATCATTACAGCACCTACTCATCGACCAAAGCAAGTGTAGTTGAAAGGGTGAATCGGACATCAAAGAATCGTATGTGGAAGCAGTTCAGCCTTCAGGGAGCGTACAAATGGCTAGATATCCTATCGTCAGTCGTTGACGGGTATAATAACACCAAACACAGTACAATTGGAATCAAATCCATAGACGTGAACAAACGCACAGAAAAAACATTATTACGGTTTATACACATTTGAAAACGGTAGATCCAAAGGGTGTAAAATATCAAACTGGGGATCATATCCGCATAAGCAAACATAGAACAGCATTTGCTAAAGGATACACTCCTGATTGGTCCAATAAAATTTTTACAATTCGTAAAGTACAGTATACCAATCATACATCATACTTATTGGCAGACTGGCGTGGTGAGGAGATACTAGTTGGATTTTATGCTGAAGAGCTTCAAAAAGGAAAGTATCCAAACATCTATCTTGTGGAGAAAGTGGTTCGACGTAAAGGCAATAAAGTGTTAGTCAAGTACTTAGGACTGGATAGCAGCTATAATTCGTGGATTAAAAAAAGTGATTTACTTGTATAACAGATGTACCTCGATTTTCTCTAATGATTTCTATAGCAAACTTTTTTCAATAAAACGCTCTACGTAAGATAAGATTTTTATTACAAATATACTGAGAATAGTTAGGATAAGTAATTTGAATAAAAGTTCAGTGTTGGAGCCTTGTTGAATTCCTTCAAGTTTGAATATTGGTATGCCAGTTCCATAGCAGTCCTGATGTTCTCCGAATGCGGCAAATCAGAGATGTGTTGCATAATGAAGTCTCGCACATCTATGTGCTTGGTTTGTACATCCTGGACGAGTGTGGTAAAATATTTTTGGAACTCCTTAGTTTTCAGCATATTCATCGTATAGGCAATCAGCGGGGCTAATTGAAATAACTTCAATATGGTCTCTTTACCCAAATAAACTACGTTACTCCACCGATCTTCAATTTTGATGGTTTCAAAATCTGGAAATCTATCAAAGCTGATACAGAAGGAGTTACCTTGGATCGGATGGAAAATATCATCACTGAAGAAAAAATTGGTTCTAATGCCTTCTTGATTCAATACTTCATACCAGTCTTCTTCATTTAACGTAACGCCCTCGGTCTTTAAACCCTTGATATTGATTACAGGTTGGAAGCTTCACTGATATGCTCGCCCAATCGTGATCCATTTTGATTTAGATGGATTTGCTCCTGGATGACAATTAACGGTGGCTGAGCTATACCACTTCATACAGATCGTAACGCCTTGTCGTTCTGCACATTTGCAACGTGTTTGACATCAAAAATTGGCACAGGTGCAACGGAAAATGATAGTACCATTCATGAAGATATATTTATTTATGATATATTTCTGTCATATAACACAGACAGAATTATTGCGTTTTGGATAAACCGCATAAGACACTCAAACATGCAATATAATCTTCAAATTTGGTGGATGACCATTTCACACCACATGGTCCAGAACTCTATCCTAGTGACTTATCTCCAATGTTACCTTTGGCTACGTTTTTCTTTAACCATTTAAATACAGTTTAATGTCTTATCTTATTTTCTATATCAAATACAAATTTAATATCATGCTGCTGTATCACATCGATTAGACTCTTCAGTGATGCACAATCAGCCAGATATGCGATTTTACATATGGTTTCATCGATATGGGATACAGTATACAGTATACAGTTATATCTCTTAGTAATATTTTGTACAGGATGTAGTTTATCTACATCTTCATAGTTACTGTCAGATAACGACTTACAGTGCATGTTCGCCAGCAGGTCTCCAAATTCTTTGATGCTTAAAACCTCACAACCTCTATCCTTTAGACTTTGCAGCGTTTCCTGTACCACCCAGTCAAGATGTTTCTTTCTTGCTATTACACTGGAAAGTACATCAACTATCTGCATTTGCAATCCAGTTGAATACTTCGTCTTGTACTGTAATTTCCTCCAGTACAAAACTTAGCACTGGAAATTCTCGTTTTCTGGATTTTGAGACACAAACTGTCGGAGCTGTTTTTTCAGTTACATGACATAATTGCATGAACAGTGAATATTATGTCTTGGTACTCATCTTTAAAACTGAAGAAGGTGAGTCGGTAAAACATATATTTATATTCTTGTCCCCACCAAAAAGCACTAATTTCTGATCATTTCATCTGATCACTAGTCAACTCACTGGCTTCGTTCATTAAGCGCAGCAAGAGGTCCAACCGCTCTCCGTCCGACATGTTATGAAAGGTGATATCTTGATGACCCCAAGCTAATGTCTTTGTTGAGTTTGGTATCAAGAAACGTTTATCATCCATACTGGTCAATGTCACTTTTCTTATATAATTTGTATATATATTGTGCGACTCCGATTTAAATACATAAATTGTACAGTAGACATATGTCCGTTTCTCCTCAACAAAATCCTTATAATGTAACAAATGTAATTGATGTTTCACACTCGCCTTAGATATACTTTTGTTTCGTTTAGCCACTTGATCTACAGCATCGATACAGTATGCTTTGGGACGTGTACCATAAAAGGCAGACAGTACCTTGCCACCATATTCGTCTTTCATCTTACCCAACTTTGACGCTGTTAGAGGCATGTTATGTGGGTTGTCAGCATCATAGTTGGATGTGTCAAAGTGATGCATGTGTGATTTCATGTCTTCATAGAAATTATCGGCTTCAACATGTACTATTAACGAATCAGTGTCCGTGTATGCTAACGACACCTTATCACTATATTGGTGCTTCAGAAAGTTATAGAAAAAGTCATATATTACCGTTTTTGAGACATCTAAAATACAAAATCCAACATATGTGGGACGGCAATAATCAATCATTGTTTTTTCCATTTGAATAGCTACTAAGTTTTCAGAAAATATTCTGTGTTCTTTAAAAGTTGGTTTACTAATATAATTTTCAGCACCTATTTTGTGTTTCGATTTTTCAAATTGAGTCGCTAATTTGATCTCGACTCTGTTCTCCATGTTTTTAATCGTTTTGCCAAATATACAATTGATCATTAGTTTGAACAAATCTCTTTCAAACGGATTCAGTGCTGCATTTCTAAGTGCTGTGTTTAACAGTATATAGGACTTTAACCACGCTGCTTGTATGAATTTGATACCTCTATGAATTTTCGTCAAGATAATACCATGTTTCAAACATTGTTTTAGATTACGATTTGGAATTAATTTTGAGCTTGAGGGTGGGTGGTTTAAAATTTTCTGGACAAAATGGTAAATTATTGAAATAATCATGAAGCTCATTCGGTATAGTTAAATCAACTTCTAATGCATATCCAATATCCGATGTATCTGAAATTTGTGTAATTGTTTCTTGAATCCTATCCATCTCATGTTGCGTTAACCAAGCAAAATGACCCGTCGGTAAGTACTGCTGCATAATACATCCATACAAATTCGACGCATCAAGGTACATGTACAAGTACGATGATGCCTTTGATGGATCGTAATGAGGTAAACATTTATTGTTCGCCTCGACTTTCCGTGAGGTACATGTGCTGACTGCTCCGCGGATCCCCTTTTTTAAAAAATGTACCATATCCACATCTGTAAGCAGCTCTAACTCTACTTTAGTATATCGTAGCATTGCATCCCAACTCAAACCAGGGGCTGGATCCAGCTTGTACGTTTTTAAACACAAATCTCTAAAATTTTCAAAGATATCTGTTAAAAGAAGAACATCCGAAGTCAAGTAATAGTCCAAGTATTCCCCCAAATTTTTACACCCCATTACTTCCCAAACATGATGTGCCCGCTCATAATCCTCGTCTGCAATGTGTTCATCACGTATTTCGTCCTAAAAGTCTTGTTGGGATGGTAAACATGTTTCATTGTATTTATCAAATGTTTTAAGATATCTATAGGGAAATATACCTTTACATCTCATGTAGTAGAATCTTTCGTCCTCGGGAAACACTTTTCGTACTGTCCGACATTGCTCTGCGCTTAAAAAGGATGCCAATGTTTTTATAATTTTGACGAAGGAAACTGATATTTCTATTTCTTGCTTACTAGACTAAATATTTACTCTAGATTTTATTTTCCTGGTGCTGTGTATGTGTTTTCATCATAGTACATAATATACATTATTTTTTATCTCTTATCTTTTTAGTGTATTTTTGCTTCCTGTTATTGTTTACTTATTATTTTTTGTTTGTAATTTGGAAAATGCCATCGTTGTTGAATGTGGTTCACCTCAATATTAGATCTCTGGTTGCAAATATAGGGATGCTGCGTAGCTATGTTGATGATAATTTCATCGATTTCATAGCTTTGAGTGAGACTTGGTTACATGATCAAATTGACATTGATGGTTACACCCTTTTTCGTGTAGATCGAATTGGTAGAGGTGGGGGCGTTGCAGTATATACAAAAAATGTTTCCAGAGTAAAATTATCCATATTAATATAACTCCTGCCTTGGAACAGATCTGGATCTCACTAAAACTTAATCGGAAAACATTCATATTTAGTGTTGTCTATAGCGCCCCTTCTGCTAATGTTGTGGACATGCTTCGCGAATTGGAGTCAGCTGTGGATCTTTATCTACGAGTACATTGATAGATTTGCTCATAGTAGGTGATCCGGATGACTTCACTTCTGTCGATACACTTGATTTTGGTATTTCAGACCATTGTGTTTTGACTTTTAAAATTAATCTCCCTGAGGCGAGTAGATATGAGAAGTTTTTAAGATACCGGGATTATTCAAAGTTTGACGCAGATTTATTTTATAAGGATCTACATTCTGTTAATTGGAGCTTCATCTACACACTACCAGATGTAGACTCTATGGTGGATTATCTTGAAGTAAATCTTAAAACTCTCTTTAATCGCCACGCACCTTATCGTCAAGTGAGGGTTAGTAAGCCGCCTGCTCCTTGGCGTACATATAATTTAAAAATAAGGATGTCACTTAGAGATAAAGCTTTTAAAAAATATAAATGTATTAAAAGTACAGCGGCTTACAACTACTATAAGGAGTTAAGGAATCATGTTACTGGTGCGATCAGAAGAGAGAAAGCTGCGTATTTTTCACCAAAAGAAATCAAAAATCAACATATAACTCACTTAGATCTTTGGAGATTCTGCGCGAAAAAAGTTATATGAACTACCACCCAAGTTAAAGAATAGCAACACTGTGAACGTATATTTTAATAGCGCCCCAAATCTGGCTAAAAGTCAACTTCAAATTGATATGCTTAGAAAATACGATACCCACGCAAGCTCATGAAGATTCTTTTAGATTCACAACAGTTAGTTCCCACGCTGTGTTCAATTATCTTAATAAAATTAAAAGCAATGCTGTAGGCTCGGATAATATTTCGTTACGTACGTATATGTTACTATTAGTTTCCTCTGATGTGATAGAGTATATCACGTTTATTTTAAATTTCTCAATCACATCTGGAACATATTTCCTCTTGCATGGAAGCATGCTTTGGTGAGGCCAATACCTAAATGTAACTCACCTGATGAGCTCTCTGACCTAAGACCGATTAGTATTCTGCCTACCCTATCAAAACTCCTAGAACTCATCATGAAAGACCAAATGCTTACCTATGCTATTCAAAATAATATTATTACTAGCTTCCAGTCAGGTTTTCGTCCTCATCATAGCACCTCCACGGCTTTAATGAAGATTACGGATGATCTTATTAGAGCAACTGATCAAGGTAATTGCACTTGTCTTGTGTTACTCGACTTCAGCAGAGCTTTCGACAAAATTGATATACTTCGGTTTTTCTTATAACTCGGTTCTACTTCTTGAGAGCTACTTATAAAAATCGCACTCAGTGTACAGTTATAGATGATAATTACTCTTCCTCGTTGAATAAGGTTTTCGGTGTTCCACAAGGTTCGGTCTTGGGTCCACTCCTTTTCAGCTTATACACAAGTGACTTTCATGATTTTTCTCAGTTACATCATTATGCCGACGATACCCAGATATATATATCATTCTCCGCACCCAAAGCTGTTACTGCACAGATTGAACTGAATAAAGACTTAACATCTCTATATAACATATCTATAGCACATAATTTACTGCTAAATCCGAAGAAATCACAAGTCATGATTTTTGGCAATAAAAATAAAAGACCTAATCTGCATGGCACATTTTCAGTTACTATAAATGATGTATCTTTGCCAATAATCAGTGAAAACAAAAATCTTGGCATATGGCTGGACTCTGATCTAAGATATACAAAACATGTTAGTCACTTGTGCCAAGTCTCCTATAACGTGTTAAGACAACTTTATCCCAGCAGGAGTATATTATCAAAATTCATGAAGGTCAAACTATGTGAAGCTTTGATTTTGTCTAAACTGGCTTACTGTGACTGCATAAACAGATATTCTACGCATTCAGCGAATTCAAAATTCTTGCATCAGGTTTGCATATGGTATCCGAAAGTATGACCACATCAGTGAGAGCCTTATGGATTCTGGTTGGCTTACCATGATTAACATAAGAAAACTTCATTTTCTCACATCAGTACACAAGATCGTTACTAGTGGAACACCTACTTATCTATACAATAAACTTACCAGACTGCCTGATAATAAAGTAACTCGCAATAAACAACTTTTGGTTATTCCTAAACATTCAACAGCTCTGTTTAAGCGCAGCTTTTCATACAATGCTGCGAAACTGTATAACAGCTTGGCAGTAGATCTCAAGAATCTGAGCCTCCGCAATTTGAAAAAAAGATTGAAAGCTGATCTCCTGCACGACCAAGGGCCTAAAGTATAAGCAAACCTCGCTACGTTTTAAAGGATAATGTCCCAGTATGTTTCTTAAGTCGCCTTGTTCTTTTTTGCATGAATTGTGCTCTCATAAAAACTGCATTGGCCATGCTCTCGTATGTTCTGTTTTGTATTGCATATTATCTTTTTATATATATATATATATATTTTGTATGAGTGTTATTTTTTTGTGGGTTTAGTTGAAAAGCAGCTTAGGCTGAACTACGCCTTTCATCATTTTATCTTTAAAACATTTTTTTTTCTTTTATCCTCAAGTTATTTATATTGATGAATAAAGACCATTTATTGTTATTATTATATGAATCGACAAATCTCATTTACAAAAATACGGTTTTTTGTTTTCCTTCTTGGGAAATGTACGTGTCTACCGGTACTAATTTCGTAAATGACACATATCTTTCAAAGGATTGTGGAATCACTTTAATTTGTTCTTGATTCATAGCTAAGTGTTTTATGAATAGATAAGCGTCATAATTCTTCAGATTGTGGAAAAATATTGGAATATAGTTCGGAGTCTTATAATTGAGATTGGATTTACTATGCGCCGCACCACGATATTTCCCTGTGAAATGACAGTGATCCCTAACTTTTATATTTGTATTGGTGAATGGTTGTTCACAAATGAAACATGACTCTGCTTTATTAAACGAAGCTTTATCGTACGTAGTCATTTTCATTCTACATTTTGTGTTAAATATTGATAATATATTAATTTAAAATCAGCCTCTAATCGAGTATCAAAAATTTGTGCTGCATCCTCACCCCTATATAGTTCTAATTTGGATAGTGAATCATTAAATGAGCATTTGATGTAATAAGCAAATTAGGATGGTTTATGTTCATACTTTCTGATGGTACATACATCCTCAGAATCGCTTGAGTCATTTTCTATCGGAGCTAGAATGCATTCAAAGTCGGCTTAAACGCAAAATGGTAGCCTTAATTGTTTGTGATGCTGTTCAAATTTTAGTACATTATCCATTACCGTGTTTCCAAGTCGATCAACTCTCGTTTCCAATTTTGGGAGCTTAACTGCAATAGGTTCGCATGTGAATTTCTAATTTTTCTTTTGAGGCAAAGTATTGTAAACACCCATCACAAAAGTGCTTTACTCTCGTATTCCGCGACAACTGACTTGAAACGAGTCTTGAAAAGTTGGTAATTAAGCAGTAATGATGGTTTCTTTCTAAATCATCAATAAGTAAGAAGTTCAGATGAGTATATTGTTTTTGCGCGGTGTAATGTAACGGTCCCACCACTTGATTTTTAGGCTTCCAATCAATGAATTCCTTTTCTAATCCATAAACGTTGATTGATATGTTATTTACGCTTTCAAATTCTGATATTGACTTGGAAATGTCATTCCAGCAAAGTTTAAGTCCGGAACATTCGAAAAATGTGGATATGACGTTGTTAGTGCTGATCGACCTTTTGGTTTTATCATACGAGCTACAATTGACCATACAAAGCAGTACTCATCCTTATTACGTATATTGAGTATAGCTTTTTTGTTCCTAATTTTCTTTGGAAGCGGCAAATATGAAGCTGCTCTCAAAGGATTATATTTATTAATATTAATTTCTAAATATAACATCTTTTCTAACACCCACCCTGAGTCTTTTTCTGAAAAATCTTTAGATTTCTGATCTATTTTACTGCCCAAATCATGATAGATTGCTTTTAAATCTGATGATTGTGTTATGGTTACATTGTTTGTATTGTGGGACTTGACCTCTCGTCGGCTTTTAGCTGGTAAGATATATAAACCAAAAAGTTCCATATTTATTTTGAGCGTTGTTTGCTTATGCAATTCATTTTCAATCACGTTTATGGAGTCATGTTCGAGATTATTCATATATTCAGTAACGTTCAAAGTGTCTATACTAGCGGTTATTTGATAACTGACTATTCTACCCTGAAATGCACTTCGACATACTGACACATTATTGTGTAAAGGTGTCCATAGATGTGCCTTATGTTTGATGCTTTTCAGATGTGCTGCATGTGCATTCCTCGGTACCTCACAGTTGCAACTATCACAGCGAATTGTTCTGCTTTCCGCACTCGTCTGTGAGTCGTTGCTGGTGGTTGGACTCAATCGATTCGGTCCCGGTACTGCAACGTTGGCTGTTGAAGGATCCAGTCGTCTGGTTTTGAGTCCTGTGGTGGTCTGGGTGATGCTAGCTGTAATAATAACTTCATAGATATAAGTTATTTAATTTGGCTTAGTTGTTTGTAACCTTACCTTCTACGCGTTGCTGTTCGGGTGGACTCTTCCCGCTTGTGCAGACCTCTCTACCATGTCGCAGTAAACCTTTTCCTGCCGAGAATTTTTGCTGGCATCGAGGACATTCGCACTTGTCTGCAGTGCTGCGCGAAGCGGTTGCATTACATGGACGCTTGGATGCGGGCTCCCCATCCTGGCTGCACCGCTCTCTAGAGTGTCTCAACAAACTTTTCCTCACCGTGAAGGTCCTTTGGCACTTTGGACATTGGAACATTTTGTTGTGAGGCGTGCACGTATCTACTGTGTTTCTAACACCTAAAACATGTATATGTATATTTTTCTGCACCAAGCGTTCTCCAATGGCATCTGACACAAAAAAAAAACATTTTAGCTGCTGTACATTAATTTGACCTATTGGCAGGCTTCGTTTTTTGTCCCTTTTCTACATATCAAGTTCGTCATTCGCTGCACACCGTTCCGTTTCGAGTCGTTGTAGTTTCGTGAACGCCAACTCTTCGATCCACGTGTCGCGATTGAGTTGCTCATTCACAACACAACGTTCTGTCGCGTCCCGTTCAGGTTGCGTGAACGGCAACTCTTCGCTGGAGGTGTCGCGACATAGTGCATCGTCCACATCGATCACTCGCGATCGCGGCAGACACCGATGGCTCTTGCTGCGTTGAGGTGGCTCTCGGCATGGATGGCATTGGCTGAGCTCCCAACAAACTCATCTCAAACGATGGCCAACCATTGTATGCATTCATCGTTGTAGACATATCAATGTCAGAATTGATGGGTGCTAACACTGCCTCAATATCGATTTCATTTGAGGAGTTCTGTTGACTTGGGGCGATGTAATTGTTAAGCATGGTTTGCGAGTCGATGCTAACAATTTTGATTGATAACTCATCATTCCCCGAAGTACTAGCCATCGTTTGCGGGTGCCCATTCAGCGAAGGGTCAACGGTTTCGCGTGGTGGTACAACTTGAACATTTTGCAATACCCGTACACGGGGCCTTAACAGTTTGTCCAGAATCAGGCGCTGACTGTTCGTAAATGCGTAGTACGGGCACTTCTTCTCCAAGGTACACAGACACAGTCTTGAACACATGTCTGCAATTGAACAAAGAACACAATGTTAAAGACTGATGCTTTCAACCTGAAGTGTTTGGACTGCAGTGACAGGTACGACTATGAGCACTTATATATAAGCATTTCCCCTCCTACCTCACTTTGACGGATTCTTTTGTTCGACTTTCACGATTTCTAGCATGAATTAACAGTCAAGATTTATTACTTCATTAAAGTTTACTGATCGCGTTTAAGTTTTAAATTTATTATCCAATGCTAATTTCGTGGCCCCGACTTTCATCCTTAAGAATATTACTACCCACCCATACTTTCTTTGTCCGTTATAGCATCATGACCTCGAATTCTCTCGACCTTGTGACGGAGGAGGAGAGCATCCTTATATACTCACTATAGTCGTCTTTCCATTCCGTCGCTCCCCAGTCATCGTCATGGATGATCAGGCTCCAAAGGATCTGTATATCTTCCATGAAGATGGATTTTCTAGTCCACTCCTCTTCGACAGCACAGCCTCTACCGTAATTGCGGGAGGTGCTGCACCCGATGTTGGCAATGCTTTGTTAGACGACGTTGTCGACATCGAGTCTGCCGACGAAGATGAGAGGGAGAGCGCGGGGGAGGCATCTTCGTCCGAGAGCGATTCTGAGGTCGAGCTTGATGAGCTCCACGTCGACCTTGCTCCACTTGAGGTTGCCATTCCTGAAGCATTTCAGGATGACAATCTCGTGTGGGATCTGGACGATCCATCCAGCGATTCGGGGTATATCAGCTCCTAATGTGTATTAGTTTTAAGGAGTTAGCTTTAGGGATTTAGTTTTAAGATTTTATTTGTAAGGTTGCAGGTTTTAAGGATTCTGTAAAGTATATTAGCTTTAAGATAATAACACCCAACCCAATTCACGTTTTTCACTCAAATTTCTCTTAAATGACCGATTTTTGAATTTTTTAGCTATCTGTCTTGCTTCTACAACCTTACACTCATTATTCTCTTAACTTATCCACACATTTTTTTTCCTTCACTTACCTTCACACTCGATCTCCTTTTCCTCCTAACTTTCCCATTTTCTTTCTTCGGCTGCAATACACATGCTTGCCTCCCAGTGGAATGTTGTCACACTTACGTATACTATTCGATGCTATTCGCCTTTCGCAGTACAAGCACTTTGCTAAGTTCTTACTATGTATGTGGAGCTTATTCACATATCCGTCGTATATACTAAATAGGACATACCTTGCTCCTATGATACACCTCTCACATACTATTGATCCCATCATTGTGGTACCGATGTAGTAATATTGCTGACAACGGTCTTCGCTCCATTCTACACCCCTCGCATAACTTTCTTGACACACGCTCCATTCTACATATGCATTACTTATTACACTTCTTTCATATATCAGTTCAGATGGATATCGCACTCTATATCCATCTTGCAGCTCACTCCATTTAATTAGGAATCCATTCCCGACTAACATTACTTCTATGGCGAGTCCCGGTTCCAACACCAATGATTTCGTCATCCGTTTCGAAGATCCACCCTATTTTATGGGGACGGTGTTGAGTACACGTTTAACAATAAACTAAAAATGTCTCGCCAGAATACCACCTACGAATCCAGCGAAACTCCTTTGCAAGCTCCAACAGTTTCTCCGTTTGACAGACTAAACACCTACTTTTCTTCGGCAATATTATATTCTGCATCCCACTAGTACCGTACCATTTGCGTCACTTGCAACTACAGAACTGACTTCTCTCGGTGAGTTCTACAATTTAAGCATATATTTCCAAGGTCATCCCTTCTACATCTCAAGGTCGTTCACTCCTACAAGGTCACACCCACTCAAGGTCACTCGGAAACTCAAGGTCACATTTCAAGGTCACACTTCAAGGGTATATTTCAAGGTCACTCGAAAACTCTAGGTCACACTTCAAGGTCAGTAGGAAACTCAAGGTCACGTTTCAAGGTCACCCTTAAAGGTCACATTTCAAGGTTGGCACCGAAGGTCGGCGCTCAAGGACGTCCCAGAACATACAAACCCTATCTACTAAATTGGATTATGCATCGTTAATTTAGAACCCAATTTACAACTGCTACATTGATTCTCTTCGAGTATATTCAGAGAAAGTTTCTAAAATTTTTATCTTTTAAAGTTTTTTATTGTCTAGGTTCCAAGTGCAGTCTTTAGAACTGAGAAGGAACTGTGCATCAATTATGTTCTTGCATAAACTACTGCACAATCAAATTGATGCTAATGAGATTGTGGCTCAAATAAACTTTAATGTTCCATCTATTCGAACTCGTACAGCTAAAACATTTTATTGCGACAGGTCTCGCACTAATTTCTTTTTGAAGGCACCCATATACAGGGTGACTTCGAAGTTGAGTCATTTATTTTAACAGTGAGTAGATCTGATCAAAAGAAATGTTTTTTTCCTTTACCATTTTTCTGGTAAAATTAAAGTAACAAAGTTATAGCCCTTTGGAAGTTTGAGTACCGCCCTGTCTCAATAATAATATTATGTGCTCGTGTTTGGCGACAACGGATATAATCCGCCGTATCGGTTCTTCGCATCGGAAACAAAAAAGCGAAAGAATTTGGAACGATGTTTTTACAATTATTTTATTCATTTGTATACAGTCAGTGTCAGTGAATAGTGGTGTCTGTTGCGTGGCTCAAACGAAATAAAAAATGGCACATGTTTATGCGGATCGGTTTCCCAATCGAGTGCAACCAACCCCTCGTGCCTTTGTTAATGTAGTACAACGGGCTCGTGAATCAGGTGACGGCATGCCGGTGCTCCAAGACCTCACGATCAAATACAGGTCCGCACTGAAATACTTGTCGGGAGGATACTTTATAAAACAAGGTAAATTTTTTTTTTTATTTTTACACACATATTTTGGTTTATCTTCCTTCTACAATCATTATCTGAAAATTAACACATTGACTGCGAACTGGGATGAGGATACCCACCTCAGAAACTGAAATACTTTTTTCCTTTTTTTGGAAGCCGGCAGAGAGCGTCGAAAGACGCCGTTCGCCTCCCACCACAGGAGCGGAGGGCGTCTTTTGACGCTGTTCGCACTGAACGTGTTAATGACTCAACTTCAAAGTCACCCTGTATGTGATGTGTGAGACTTTCAATCCAATATCAAATTATTGTGATATACATGCTGACAGTTTGAACAGCATTCTGGGAGTAGCTAGAAATTGCTTAGATAATTTACGATATGTTACTCACCTAGTGAAATATGTTTTTTGCTTCTTTTTCTTGTTTGTTTTTCTCTTTAGATGTTTTCTGTTCTTGTTATTTTGATTTATCTTACGATTGTCCTGTAAATGGTTTCCTTAACTGTTTAGCAATAAACTCTATTTATATATAGTATTTATTTATTCGGAGTATTAACGTAAATTTTGTCCTGAAGTACCCCCGATGAAAAAACATACAAGTTAATTACGATGATCGAAGTAGTTATGTAACATCAACATCTGCAGCGCAAGAAGTTGATCCATACTGACCCTCGCAGTGTGGAAATGGCTTCGTCTTGTTTAACAGAGTCGGTTAATTGTACGTAGAATGTTAAGTTGGGGTTTCGAATAAATTTCCGAAATGCATCACTTGTTAAGCATCTCGGATTTTCAAAATAAAAATCGTTCGATTATTTGCTCTGGTGATATCACGATCGCCAGTTCTGACTCCCATTGACTGTTCCTTGGTGAATCTCAAGTGCAATTTTGAATTATATGAGTCATATTGCTGACTTGTAGGAACATATGTATCCGTTGCCAAATAAGCAGTTAGCTGATGTGAAGATCTCTAAATATTTTGACCCAGCTTAAGCATGACTAAAAACCATCAGCGATTACTTAATCAACTACAAACGAGCGGCCTCACATACCGCTCACAGTTTGTAATTTTGGCGGTTTACTGCCTTAAAATCTCAAATGTATTAAAATGTATACAAAATCAATAAGCTTGATTAAATAATATTACATAATAAAAGTAACAACAGTAACAAAGAATTTCTTTATTAATTTGACCTTGAAATATATCGGTCCGTGAGACCACGCGTCTATGGATGTGTAGCAAAAGGTAAAGATAGTGGTATGAAACATTTTAAAACAAAAATACCTACTAACTCATCCCATTCATTCTGAATATTTTTACTTACAGGTAAACTCTTCCAAACAGATTCCTGAATCGGTACAGAAAGAGCTAGATAAAAGGCAAATAGGAGCTAGGTGTGTATCTCCATCTTAAAATTTCAACCTATACTATATATTTTAATAATCCTTGAAACAGTATATATAACTTTCGGCGTGTGGCATTAGCTTATATGATATTTTATCTTTTCAAATTAAATTTAAAATTCATATCACCTCTATTTTCAAGAAGTTATTGTTCTCTGATATGAAGAATAAGCTTTTTGAAAAGTATTTAGTATTAACTCGTTGTGGAGTAAATGACCACTATCTCTTTCAGAAATACAGCTAATCTCAAAGGAATCCGCAAGCCCTCAAGTAATGATGATAAGATACATGCACCAAAAATAGCACAAGTCAAAAATACAAACGCAAAGGATAAAAGGTACATACAAAAAATGTAATTAGTAATTCTAGAGCGAAACACGTCATAATGCATTTTTGTAGTACCCTAATTTTGCCCTAATTGGAAACGATGAATGTATGTTTATTTGGCACAATATGTTCACCTTGTTCACTTCAAAGAACCCTAAAAAATCACTATCCTTATACCGCATGCCATTTTTCTTTAAGTTGTAGAGGGGTTGAGTTCACCAGCAATGGGAGGTAATCTGGAAAGCTTTAAGTAGATGGCACTAGTTAAGTTGACTGTCATGTCTAAAGTTATAAACATCTCACCTTTCCATCAAATCTGTCAAAATAATGCATACACTACAGAGCTGTCGAACTCGCAATCGTTGGTTTGTTTAATAGTTTGGCCTCCAACCGCACTAGCGCCACCTACTGGGAGCAAAACTGCTGCCATTGTATGCTTCTGGCTAACAGCGTACAAACACTGGAAAATCAATTCTTAAAATGCGTTTAATTATATTTAGCAAAGAATCTTAATTACGCAGGAGCGATGAAGAAAAGAAGACTGTTGAAGAAACTGACCCGATGAAGAGACGTTTTTCGGTAGCCAACCCGTTGATTAAGAATACGGACATGTTTGGAAGTGTTATATCGATTACCGATGATGAGGAGTTGAACTGATCAGTCAAACCAAAAGTTAATGTCTGATCAAAAGTGAACAATGGCATACATAGCGTTATCAAGGTTGTAGCTGCTACCGTGGAAACATTTCAGATCATATGTTCACCAGGTAACTGAATTTCGATCGTTAACATTAATTTCGATTACGTCTTCCCACCAAACATATAATCCGCTATGATAATTTTGTTTGACACCTCATTCTAGATGTCTCCTATTGAATATACAGTAATGGACAAAAGTATATAGACAAATTAATATTGTGCTGTACTTGTTTTTTAACTTGTTTTATTAATACACCAACCTGTATACATAATTCGTTATAGCATAATACTCACTTATACATAAATAAATTCATTAGACTCCCTTCAATGAAAAATTAATTGAAAAAAAACTGGAACTATGCAGGACAAAAATATATAGACAAAGCAAAACAATTATAGAAAAAAGAAGCAAAGTTCGTTGAATTATAGAACACCAACCATGTTTGTGTTAATATTTTGTAGCATAACCATTATTATCAATCACCGCCTGGCATCGTCTCGGCATAGATTGTAGAAGTTTCTTGATATAAGATTCATCAATTTGTCTTCACTTTTGCTCTAAAGCGGCAAAAAGTTCATCCTTGTTTGAATAATTTTTATCTTGTATTTGCTTATCTAAGCATTCTCATAGATGTTCAATGGGGTTTAATCGGGAGACTGTGAAGGCCATTTGAGAACTGGTATTTTTTCATCCAGAAAGAATTTCTTTGCGAGATTTGAAGTGTGCTTCGGGTCATTATCTTGCTGCAAGATTGATCTTAAGGGCATATTGTCTTCCATATAGGGTAACATGACATGCTTTAGTATGTCTGTGTATACAAACTTATCCATAATGCCATATATTCTATGTAAAGGTCCCATCCCAAACCACGAAAAGCACCCCCAAATCATAACATTTGGGGGGTGCAATCTTTGTCCACTAGGACGTCTAACGTAATGAACACCATCTGATCCAAGCATATTGAACTTGGATTTTGTGATTGTAATCGGTCCTTACGGTTTTTCCTCGAGAATAGCGGCTTCTTACTCGGGCAACGTGCAAATAACTTCAAATCATTTAATCTTCTACTTATAGTTTTCGTAGAAACATTGGCATTTCCTTTTGTCTCGATGTCGGCTTTTATTTATCTTGGGGTTTTAAACGGATCTTTGGACGAAATTACTTCTATTAATCGAACTGATCCAGCATTTAATTTTCTAGGCTGACCACTTTTCTTAGAGGCTTCCAAGATACCTTTTTGTTTATGTTTGTTCAATATTGCCCAAATTGCTTTACGCTTCAGCTTCAAATTTTTGGCAATGTCGACTTGACGTTGACCATCTTTGTATAACTCAATGATCTTAGCTTTCACATCGAAAGAAGTTTCTGGACCACGCGGCATGGTCTTAAAATCACTCAACTTATTCCACAATACTTGATGAACACAAACTAATCCTTTTCTGACACGAAACTGTACTAAACTAATGTTGAAAAGAATTTGTCTACACATATTTTTCTCCCTCATAAAAAAGTGCTTATATTCAGACTTGTATTGTGTTCATTGCAGATAATGTAAAAACAAGGAATTTAGTTTTTCTACTAATAGCGCATTTGTTTATGGAGCAATGAAGTATGAATTCGTTTTCTAAAGGAATTTAGCTAAATATTCATATTTGTCTATATACTTTTGTTCATTACTGTATATAAACTGACATGTCGGTATCAAAATTATCATTGCGGATCAAATACATGACAAGGCGTCATCAAAATTATTTCAACGGTCGAAATTCAGTTAGAATCAGGTCCCCGATCCAAGAAACTTTAAAGCGAATTTGGTGGTTTTCCTGCGAAAAAATAAGCACTTATGTTTTTAGATTACGTTTTGAGTTCTCAAAAATAGAATCGCTTAGCTAAGACGTGGAATTGTCAGCTAGTTCTATCATAATATCTGTAATTTTGTATTTGTATAATATTCGAGTTAAAAATGTAGAAATACATATTAAATTTGGTGGACTCTGTAAATGCTGCTCGCTCAAAGGGGAGGTCAAATGGTATATCTAAACATTCGAAAATAACTAGTAACATGTAAGCTCCAGTTTGCCAATATTGACTCAATTGCAGACTTTTATTTTTTCTCTCCCTTTGGAATATTGCTAAATCGCATGTGGATAATTTATTGTAAACGCAGCACGTGAAGTTGTGCCTTTTATTTGCTGAAGATTGAAATATCAGCACTTGCAATACAATGCAATGGTCCAGCTGAATATACCCTATTTTAGTCTGTAAAGGTTATCGAAATCCAGTAATTTCTTATAAATTAAATTTGTGCTGTGTAGCGTTAGAGATCTGTTGAAATTTTGAATAAATTTTATTTTGACATTGCTTAATTGTTTTTCATATTATCCTCCATACAGTATTTTTCAGAAATATCCATTACGGTAGAATAATAGCTAATTATCTAGTGATATTTCAAAACTCCCCATATCAACATACGACATAATTAATTTTGAGGGATCCGCCAACGCCAGGTAGACAGATCAAATATTTTGTTGTGGTTTTTTGTACGCTACAGATTCATTTTGTACTTGCTAACATCTCTCTCATTTAGAAAAGCTCTTTGCATATAAAAAAACGCTACAAGCAAAATGGCTGCTAATGGTCATGACCACATTTTACCTAAGGCAGAAATAAAATAAGATAAACAGTTTTTGACTATGTTGATCATCTCTACTGTTCAGAACTTGAAACACCATATTTATGATTTTAAACGTCAATGAAGCAGCCATATAATTAATTCAGAATGCGTGGCAGTATGTGACCGAATTGATAGAGGTTCGATACCCAAGGACAAAAAAGCTTTGTAGTTTTTGAAAATCAGTCCAATAGCCGAGAAGAAAAATGCCAAAAACGAAACAAATAAGAACGTCGTTTTTCGACGATTCAGAGGGTCCTGACCAATTATAAAAAAGTTTTTAGGGTAAAATAATTGGAGATGAGAGGTTGCATGGGGGCGGGGGAGGGTGTATCACTATTTTTTGATGTTATTATATAAATACATTTCCAGCTCCGGTAATTCTACGCACCTATTAGAGATGCGACTTCAGTTTATTAGTAGATTTCAGATTTTAGCGATTTATTAGTTTGCGATGAATATCGTTCAGTGTTTCCTAATTTGACTCCTACTTTTGTTCAAAAGCAGGTAAAACTTTGCGCCAGCTGACGTGAAAATAGAGGGTAAATAAAACCAAAAACTGTTACCAAAATTATCTATCTTACATTATTTAGCCTAACATTATGATTACCATTTTTAATGTAATCATGAATTTTCGTCAAACACGTGTAATGTGTATGTGTTTGTACCAACTTCGCATAACAAAGTTGGTGCAAAATCTAGAACGTTCAGCACTCGGGGAACCATAGTAGCTGCTTGAGCTACCATGGAACTCAGATTTTGTGCTAAAGGCGCTAGATAACTACATCTCTAAACTAAATCTATAATGGTAACAAGAAACTGACACTGTGGATTAACTTACTACAAAAATATATCTCTCTCAAAATAACACTTGCCTTGATGCGCGAATCATACAAACAAACACGTCTTCACACTTGAAGACAGTTACACTTAACTCGTATTTCTTTATCGACGAGGATTTAGTAATAGAAAATAATTCGTTTTAATTTCCCCCACCCCCCTCCCCCCCCTAAATAATTCGAAAACTATGAAACGTTTCAAAGCTGCAGGGCTCAAAGGGGCAACATGATGGTGACCATGACTATGCCCTTCAGGGGTAAGTAAATATTTTCAAATGGAAGTCCCTTTTTTACATCGGATTAGGAGACAGAAGGGAATTTTACGTCAAACTATACCGTGACCATGTCTTTTGAGGTGATTTCAAGGTCAAGTAGGTGTTTTCATATCTGTACCTCAGAGCCAGACTAGGTCAAGTCCATTTTTGTCAAAAATGAGTTTAATATGTTAGGCTTATGATAATATTGTGAATTTTCATTTGCTGCATGCAGATTCCATCTATCTGTAATAATAAGGAAGTTACGACCATTTAACTCATATCAAGTCATTCAATAAAATGCAAGAAAAATATTTCAAATACAATTATCTCAAAACTACTTATTTGGACTTAACCTAGTCTGGTTCTGAGGTACAGATATGGATCCCCCTTTTTACACCGAAATTGGAAATAGGATGATATTTTACGTCCGATATGATCTTGACCATGAATATGACATTCAAGGTCATGACAACATTTTTAAAGACAACCCTAATATTTATAACAGAATGGGAAGAATGTTGCCTAGACCACGAGCTCAAGGTCAAAATCAAGACGATTTCAAGGTCAAATCAAGACATTGAAAACAATTTACTAGAAACAAAGATTTTTGACAACACAGTTGTGACGCTTGCGGGGGCCCCACATGTGACCTTGGTCATGACATGCAAGGCTAACCCAACATTTCAAAGAAAACCCCTCATCTGTATTCTGGAATTGAAAGAAAACAGGAAATTTTACGGCCGTATGTGGATGCAAATTAGTAAACTAACTATGATAAAGGTTAAAGATCCACTCTGGGCATTAGGATTGACTGACGTGTACCACATGAAGCCTATCGAATGGGGGTTCATACTTCATTGGCCCTGAATAGGGGGGATTTAGGCTTTGACCATGGAAAGGGCCGAATCAAGATATCTCACATTAGACGTTCAAATATTTGTCATGTCAAGCTCGGTACCAAAAACATCTGATCTTCGTGCTAGGAGACGCTAGTGTGGAGCTTCGCATATGGTGGTAATGACCCAACAACGTTTTTCTCCTGATTTTTCATCTCACATGAATCAACTTTTCGCTAGCATAGCAATAAAACTGGACAACTTTCAACCAGAAGTCAATCGGTTTCAAGGAATGAACCGAGTCGTGACCGTGTGATCAGTCCACGACCCTCGCTGCCTCACTTTCCATTCCCCAGTTCAGCCAAGCCACGAAAGCACGTCACGCTGTCGGCTTTTCACTCTGTGAGAACGTAGCCTAAAGGAACCCGGCCGAAGTTTTTATTGTCTCTTCCCTTCTCTTATGCTCAATTTGAGTGCACCTTATATGCTCTCCAGACTCACGCGCGGATCACGGCGTGAAATCGCGGCGCGCATCGTGGTGCGAATCCCGGAATTTGTTCCTAACAGTTCCACACTCGCAGATGTTCGCGCCTGCTTTGCAGTATAGTTCGCGCTCTTGACGAGTATGGATGGTGAAATTGCTACTGCTGCTGGCAACTGAAACACCAGCGAATGAGGAGCCTAGTCATGTTCGCGCCTTGCGAACTCTTTGTCGCGGGACAAAAAACTGCCAACAAACGGGAACAACGCGCGAACGCGACGTGAGGCCGAGAAGAATACGCGAATGGGATCCACACCCATGGGTCGCGGGTAATTCGCGCGTGAGTCTGGAGAGGGCATTAAAAGTTGCTGCTCGGCCACGAGATTTCTTGTTTGTACCGTTTTTTTAGGCAACAGATAGATTTGTAAAAGAGAGATATAGATAATAGTAATAAAACTTAGTGAGGTACTGTTATCGTCGTGAGGCGTTTCTAGGGTCACTACCGTATGTAAGATTTTGTCATTCTCTGAATAACTGACATAGAAAAGCTATAAAAATAGCAAAAACCCATTGAAAACTGAATCATCTAACATTGAAATCATACTACTGGATCATATATCAAGGCAAGACTTGTTTTGTTACAGTAAGTACTGAATCAAAAACACATGCAATAACTGTAGGTTAATACAATTTTAATACTAAACTACTCATATCTGTAGTGTATATCGTACTTTGAAAGTTTGTCTCATTTGAAAATAAAATTGTTCATTCCGAAAGGTACTAGTTCAATTCTAAAACAAATGTGCTCAGTGGCGTAGCGAGGGGCTGGTTGACGCCGGGTGGCATACGGAAAGAGGCGGCGGCAAGCGCAACCATTTTTAAAATCATAAATCGAAAAATCCTATTTCAAATCCCAAATAGCACCCGCGCTGATAATGCCACTGAGATTATTAATATGGGTTGAAAAACGAAATTATTCATAATTAGACAGCAAGCAAGAAAGCTAGTTAAACTTGATCAACTGCTGGAAGCTATAGAACTCCATGACTAAGTAAGTATATAGAGACTAAGATCGTGCAAAATATCTATTTTTAGAATAAGGATAGACAAAATATTAGTTTGTCTCCCTTTTTGGTTATGAGGAATTGCAAGTGAAGCGGACAACAGAGAACAAAAAAAAATGAGGTTTTAGAATACGTTCATATAGGACAATTTGAACATCTACATAAAAAGTTTGACAGAGAAAAGACGATTTTTGCTTCTTGTGATGCTTACTGGCTAGATGCTCTTAAAAAATATCCGTAATTGAAACTGATATTTTTGTGTGTCGAATTGAAGAGATTGAGATATTAAATATAGAATTGCCAAGAAGCACGAAATAGCTGTCCATGGTTGGCCATCCATGGTCGGACGGAAGAAAGCTATTTTCCCAATTAAATATAGTTTTATACCGGGTCTTTCAAATTCGACTCCCACCATTGGGATCTCAGAGACGGTTACAGATATGAAGTGGGTTAAATGAGAGCATAGTTGCGCACTACGGAAATAGCACATTCGCATTTCTTAGTGTTTACGGATTTTCCCAAAATCGTCTTCATTTTTCCCTGTAGATTAGAGTAATTGAATGCAATATGTCTGCATCGGTTTAGATAAGGTGGGTATAAAAAAGTTTAATCATTATGTTGTCCTTTTGTTCGATGAGTTAGGACCAACTATACGAAAACAACTTTTTTTAGTCATTTTAAGTTTTATATCAACCCATCTCATAATCTGCCAAATGTCACCTCAGTAAAATTGGAAATAGGGACTGTTTACATATGCCTGATTCATGAGAACTGAAGCAATGCTTGTCTGATGATACAAAACAAATGACATTCTGATAAATTTAAAGAATACTTCGGAAATTCTGTTTCTATAAATATCCAATGTTTGGCAAAGTTAATATATTAACATGTCTATGACTTTTACATTATACATTTTGCAATTAAAATTAAATCTGAATTCAAATGTGCAATAATCCAATATGGAATCTACAGAAAAAATGTTGACTGAGAACAAAAGACGTAACGCCATTTTGTAATTAAAATCATGTCATGTTGTAAAGGAGGGAAAGTGAGAATATTAATGTTTTATTTTGAAATCGCATCTCAAGTTGAGTAAGGAAAAAATGAAAATGATTTTGTAAAAATTCTGTTTCTTTCGTCGATCTCCAGAAATACTCGGAATTGTGAAACTTTCTATGTGCGATTTCCCTAGTTCCTGAACTTCAGTATCTGAGAGTCGAATTTGAAACACCTGCTATAGGAAATTTTCTGTACTTTTAGAAGAAAAATTCAAATTTGAAATTAAAGAAAGAATTACGGTTCAATACCAGAAGTAAATATTTCCATCCAAAATTTATATGACTTATTTGACTATTACATTTTAAAGTTTTGACGCTAAAATACAGCTCAAGCTGTGTTGAAAATACATTAGATGTTTTAAAATAGGAAAAGCATTAAGAGGATACGTAAGTACACACATGTCTCACTGGTATGACGTCATGCACATGTTTGGGTCGAAGATTTTGCTATGAAAAAAAAAACTCGAAAAGTACATTTTTAATTGATTAGTGAATTTGAAGATGCTTTGACTTTGCTAACTTTCTACTGATAATTAAAATAGGACTGGACGACCAACTTTGTATTTGCCCCAGGCAGCGAAAACCCACGCTACGCCACTTGTATTAAATTGTTGTCTATTAGAAATATCATATACATCATTAAGTATATCATTTTTATTTCCGTGAATATAATGGACATGGTCGTTCGATTATTTGATTCTACGGAATGGTCGAGGATTGCTCTTAAAAATTCATTACCACTTTCCATTCTCCATTACTTTCCCAATGAACCATCTAAGTACTCTACCAAATGCCTTAGCATACAAAATTTAGTAAAAGGAAAAACAACTTATCACAATTATTGAGCTCTGAAGAATAAGAGTTTGATTTTCTGTCTGAGAAGAGCAAATGAATGATTCAACATATCCCTTGTGCTTCAGTGAAACAATTATCTCTATACATCTGGGTCTTTGGAGTAAGTCAAAACTATTTTGGGAAATCAGTGTTTCAGATTAGGACGATTTTGTGAACCACAATTTTCCTTCCAGTACATCTAGATCATAGAAAATATTCCTTGCTGAAAGAGCAAACATTCGTTCAAGTCACACAGCCTTTTCAAACTAACTTACATATTTTTTACTAACACAGTGAAGTCAACTCGACATTTCCGCTCCATTCTGATAAAAGCATCCAATAAGCTACCCTATAGTACATAGGCCGAATCAAACCATATATACCATATACACCATATTTGGGTGGGGTGAAATGTTTTTTAATCTTGAGTTGTAATAGCCACGCAAAGATGAAGTAAGACATTTCTGGAATATTCTCAGCCATCTACATTGAGCCATGTTTCAGATGACACTATTCATACATTAGTAAAAAGGTCATGATGAGTCAAGCGGTTGAGCCAGGAATAAAGACAGTCACTAAGTCATCCTGAAGAGTATGTTTTGATAAAAAATAAAATTCGTTCTCAGAAACAAATGCCCCAGTTTGAAAGTAAGAAAGAATTCAAAGTTACTTAAATGGCTTTTTGTATTTTTCGAATAATTGTGTAATAATTTCAATATAAATATATGTTTATTTTGAAAATTATGTAGTTTCTTCTTGATATGTTTTTGTCCTTTTGAGTGATATAAGAATAGCCTTTTCCACGTATGTACAATGACAATGGTGGCGGAAACGTCATACAACAGAGAGAAATTGAAACATATCGACCCCTGCAACGAAGACTATAGTAACTCAAAAATCCTTACTTTTGACTTACTATAAGGTATCGATAGATATATTATGCTTCTCGTTCGAGGAAGAATATAGTATCTCAATTATGAAACCATAGGCAACCAGTATAACTTTCGTGAATTATAGTAAGTATAATCACTCACATTGCTGTCAGCGAAAAGTACATCAAGTTGAGTTACTATAGTTTTCGATGCAAAAAATCGCGGTAGGCATTCTATGTTTGGACATACTATAATCTTCGCGGTATAATTCGAGGTTATGATTATTTAAACCCAAAACGTTTTAAGTAGTAGCTGTCTGAAAATAGATAAATATAGAGAACTAGAATGAATTCTAGGACCAAAGTCATTTTGGAAAATGCAAAGAAGCTAAATGATGCATCAGGTTCAGGTAAGTTTGTCTTGTAATTATTTTATTATTTTCTAACATGGGTAATTAATTCTTTCTTTCTGGTTCATGCTTAGTATCCACATTTGCCTGTTATGCATTGGAATCATGTTATACCTACATTGATTTTTCTCTCCTACTTATAGATTCTTACAGGTATTTATTTTTGTAGGTGCAGATAACTGTCTTATTACGGAATCTGCGTATGCTGGTGCAGTAGTCAATGTACAGGATGTGCGAGCCCCTTTGCCTGATACAGCTGTTGCTTCCAGCAACCACCCTGCAGAGGACCCTATAGAAGTTGGATTTAATTTTGTACAAACAGATCCATCAGTAGTACTTCTTGATACACCTCATGACATTACGAATACGGAAGGAAATTTCTCAGACGACTCGGATATTGATCCTATTTATGTACCCGAAGAAACAACAGATTCTGATTCATCTATTGTGCCATTTATACCTCATGAAACCAAAAACCGAATTCAGGTGCCTAAAAAGCGTAAGATAACGCCCAAAGAAAGGAAAGGCAGAAAACGTGTAAAAAATACAAATGAGTGGATTGATGTTCGAGCTAAGAAGGAGTTAAACTTGGGCATCGAACATAAAAACCGGAAAGGTACAATTATTCCCGCCAAACAGATAAAGAATCCATGTAAAGAAAACTGCAGAAATAAATGTCGTCAAAAAATAAGTGAGGAAGAGAGAAAAGCATTGTTCGAGGAGTTTTGGAAAATAGGTGATCATTCTAGACAATGGGATTACATAGTTAGGTATGTCAAAACAGTGGAGAAGAAGCACGTAAAACGGACAGATAGCAAATCAAGACGAAATCATTCTAGAACATACCAGCTTCTTGTCAACAACAAGGAAATAACGGTTTGTAAAACTATGTTCCTGAACACCTATGGAATATCAGAGCAGTGGGTGACGACTGCTCTAGGAAAAATTGGAGAAACTGGCACTCTTGAAGAAGATCGTCGAGGGAAGCACCTGACAAGACCAAATAAAATTGACGGAGGTGTCTTAAATGGGATAAGAGAGCACATTCAACTCTTTCCTGTGGTGCCTTCCCACTATACCAGGAAAAAATCAACAAAGATGTACTTAGAGGTTGGTCTCAACATTTCAATTATGCATCGCCTCTACTTAAAGTACATGGAACAGAGAAATGCTACAGAAGTAGGAACTTTAAGACAATACAGAGAAGTTATCAATGCCGAGTTCAATTTAGCATTCCATAAACCAAAGAAGGACCAATGCAGTCTCTGTGTAGCCTATCAACTAGCAACTTCGCCAGATAAGCAGAAAATACAAGAGAAGTATGAAAAACACGTTTCTAATAAGAAAGCTGCTAGAGCTTTAAAAGATGAAGATAAAGAAACTGCAATCAATGACAAGACAATTAGCGCAGCGTGCTTCGACTTACAAAAAGTTCTGGTGACACCCCAATCTGCTGTAAGCGACTTCTATTACAAAAGTAAACTCGCCACATACAACTTTACCATTTACGACATGGGAAATCATGAAGGCTATTGTTACGTTTGGCATGGAGTAATTGCGAAGAGAGGGCCAAACGAAATAAGCAGCTGTATTTTAAACTTTTTGAAAAAGCAAAAAGAGAAAGGGATAAACAAAGTTATTCTTTACTCTGACAACTGCGGTGGACAAAACCGTAACCGCTTCATTTTTTCGATGTTTTCATATGCTTCTATGGCTCTGAATCTACAGATAATCCATCGATTCCTAGAAACAGGTCACACACAAAACGAAGGGGACAGTATGCACGCCGTCATTGAAAATGCCAAAAAGCGGCAATCGGCAATTTATACCCCCGATCAATGGATTATGTTGATTCGCATGGCGAAAGTAACCGGAAGACCATACATCGTGAAAGAGATGTCTCAGAAGGATTTTTTTAGTTTCAAGTCAAAGGTAAATTCGGAAAACTGGAGTAAAGACGATTCCGGAGAAAAGCTGAAAATTAGTAAATTAAGGGAGGTACACTTCTCCTCAGACATAACTTATGAAATGAAATTCAAGTATGACTATGCTGATGAGCTCAGTATAATAAAATTGAGGAGAAATCGAAGAAGGAGAATGAAGGAAAATTCACCTCAGGAGTTACCTTTACTATATACAAGCTTGCTTCCAGTAGATGCTAAAAAATTAAGTGGTTTACTCGATCTATGTAAACCAAAATCAAACAGTCTTCCAAGCATCCCTGAAGCTTACCATGCTTTTTATTTTTCCCTAAAAGCTAAAGAAATAACACAAAGAGGTCAGAATACTGAAAATACACAAGTTGAGAACGATGATAGTGAAGATGAACATGGAGATGAGAATAATTTGAGTGACTCAAATTGACAATATTAAAACATACTGTATTATTTCAATAAATATCTTACTACATCTACAGTATGTGTGTTTTTTTCCTTAATTGATCCAACGAAAACTATAGTAAGTCTTCAAAATTTTTCCAAAAATATTTTTTTTTGATAACTTTGTATTGTAATATCGTTCATAACCCTTGATGTAAAAGAATTGATAGTATCTGCAAGATGCATCGGATAGAGATTATTATTTCTCTTCGATCGAAATTAGAAAGTAATTTTCAAATGCTTATATCTCAGTTCAATCAAAATTGAGTTACAATAGTCTTCGTTGCAGGGGTCGATATATGGTTTGATCCAACCCTACAATGCAGCCATATGAACATAAAAACCACAGGATAAGTTTCAGAACTTGCATTTCCCCATAGCACATACTGTTATTATAAAGGTGGGAATTCTTTATCTGAATCCAGGTCATATGTGGGCTTCTTCCTCCATGGACTGCTAGTATTTCCTTTGAAAAACCTTGGAGAGCATGTGGTCTTATCCCTCCAATTATCAGGTCCATTACTCCTCCACCATGGATCGTAAATAGAATCTGAGCTGCTGGATGATTTGAGCGCATTAGTGCTACTTCCAAGACAGAATTCTAAAACAGAAACCCCGATTTATGCTATGTCAATGTCGCACAAAATAATTTCTTAAATTTTCATAAAAATGCACCTAGGAAAACCGATCTTCAGCACAGCTGCTACTTATACCTACACACGAAGGGGCCCTTCTTTTTATACACTTTCTAGTAATACTGTCGACATTGCCCGTTATTTGTATTTCCAGGCTATACTATATTTTATAACAGACATCCACAAGAGGTGAACTCAAATCACATTCCCATGACAGGAGAGTTATCAGACAGACAGGGTCAAGCATAGTTGCAGAACATTCATACCTTAAAACAAAATTTCGAGGCGGTGAGACAAAAGTAAACAACGTAGGCATGTCTCTGATCTTACAAAAATAAACGTCGATACTCAAAAGTAGACGACTCACACATGTATGAGAGATGGAGATATGAAAGTGATACTGGCAGTTTTACCGTGACCCGCCAAAATCCGTGATAAGGACAAAACACGAAATAATTTCATGCAATGGCCATAAAAGATTTTTATATGGATCTGTCAGTATAGCCTATGTATTGTCCTGAATTATTGCATATAATGGCCAGACCAAATAATCTTGGAGAGCACATAGGAAATACATCATAACTTTGATGGCTGCATATAAAATTACATAACCCAACGGAATTATGTAGCTTTTCTAATTTTTTTTAGTAAAAACTCCAAAATGTAATACACAAAGTGAAATAAAAAAAATAAGGAGTATGTCCACCTAATGATTAATTTGTCTTAACGGGTGATGTTGTTTGTACCAATCTTACAAAATCAACATTACTTGCCAGCAGCATGTAGTTTTTTATTTATAAACTCACAAAAGGTGGCAAAGAAGAACCAAAAAATTTAAGTCTCAATTTTGAATTTCTGTAAAAAAAATAAAAAAAAAAGCGTTCACGTTCTTATAATTCTTTTAAAAACTACTCTAGTTTATCCCGATTCTAACGGTATGCCACAAGTCACAAGAAAGTTGAAAGAATTTCTTGAATTTGCAAATTTTGTGTACAGGGTCAATTTTTTTCGGTCGGATAATAACAATGAATTTTTGTTTCTGTTGTGTAATTTACACGTACAAAATAACTCAAGTAAAAACTTTTGTCTCCCTCGTACACAGCGGAGCAGTATCATCTGTCTCTCTCTTTTACTAGTTGAGCGGGTAATCGACAGGGACGACGTGGTCCATTTTTCCACCGAGGTTCGTCCCTGCTGGCTGCCTAACGCATTTGTTACTTCTACGTAGTGCCGCGACCTGTGACTGTTCTTGTTTTGTCAGTTTTCGTTGAGTTCTGTCTTGATGATGGCTGCATTTACATATGAAGAGTATGCAGACATGTTGTTACTGTACGGACAAGCCAACTGTGTTGCACGAGCAGCGCAAAGAATCTACGAAGGCGTGTACCTACTCGCCACACATTCCATAACACTTATCGACGCTTACGAGAAACCGGTACTGTGAGCAATAATGTACCGAGTGGTGTCCTAGTGCGACACAATGTTGACACCGATGAGAGGATTTTGGCACTTGTAGAGTGTTTTTATTTTCCTTCCCTAGTACACAAAATTTGCAAATTCAATAAGTCAGTTAAACTTTTTGTGACTTGTGGCATACCGTTAGAATCGGGATAAACTAGAGTGGTTTTTAAAAGAATTCTAAGAACGTGAACGCTTTTAGTTTTTTTTACAGAAATTCAAAATTGAGACTTACATTTTTTTGTTCTTCTTTGTAACCCTTTGTGAGTTTATAAATAAAAAACTACATGCTGCTAGCAAGTAATGTTGATTTTGTAAGATTGGTACATCACCCATTAAGATAAATTAATCATTAGGTAGGCATACTCTTCATTTTTTTTATTTCACTTTGTGTATTACATTTTGGAGTTTTTACTAAAAAAAATTAAAAAATCTACATAAGTAATTCCGGGCTAAAAACTGTTTGAGGGACCTGGGGTGATAGAAAAAGACCTCCTCTGTCCGCCATTTCAATTTGGCAAACGATGCACCAAAAACCCTGTATAATTGCCGTGCTGATCACCATACTTGTCACTTGTATACTTTCTAATAGCGCATAGCCACAGCAAACAGCTCAAGTGTATTGACATTTAGGAAACACACACCATTACTACAAGTGAATGCCAAAGTACATTTTACAGAGTGCCGTCCCCAGTCCAGAATTTTTCCAAGCTTTCAGAGTACGCGGGAATATAGGGAAAATCATGTTTCCTTCAATTGCATCTTTTCTTGTCAGGCACAGTGTGTATTGCTTACCTTTCACTGTACTACTTGCACAAGGTTGATTGGCTGCCAAGTTGCCATTTTCCTTTCCATTTGGCATTGTCGACTGCAGATTTTGGATTGATTGTGATTTTTTAGGAGGCGACTGTTCATTTTTATCTTTCTCCACTGACTTCTTCTTAGCCTTCCTCATTATAACGCTGAGTGGTAAAGGTTTTGTCTGCTCGTCATTTTCTGACTCTCTGATTGTCATCTTTTCGTCAATTTGTGGTACAGAAATTACCTTTTTGGGTGAGGATTTTGTTGATGATGTACTAGATTTAACGGAGAAATTAGTTGGTGTTGAAGATCTGTGGATTAATAAACGTTCAATAAATGATCGGATAAGCTACATACATTTGAAGTAAACATGATTGTGAGGATAAAAAGAGTATGGGAGTAAAACAGAAGCTTTTATTCATATTTCAATGATCAATGATCTCTAGACTCAAAATTCTATATGAGTTTGGCGGTCCCCAAGGAAATCCAATGCAGGGAGGGCCCCTGTAGTAGCTGGAAGAACAAAATAACGCCTCCCTATGTATAACCACTGTGACAGTGCCTTTTCACTTTCAATTTAAAATTGCAAACATACTTATATTTCTTGAAAATTATATGTATGACTCAACCACTTGTTATTTCTTACCTGGAAACATCTGAATGAGGTTGTAGACAGATGACACTTGAACAAGAGCTTTGAATCTGAGGTGATGTTCTACTGCTTGAAGGCTGACTGGTTGAGCAGTCTAACTGCACACTATGATTTGATTCAGTGGCATTTACAAGTAAGCTTTCATCAGGCTTGTTGTTTAAACGCTTGTACTTTGAATACAACATTTCATCATAGCCAACATGTCCCACTTCCTATTTGAAATAAATTAATAATGGTGATAGATGTTTGCCAGATTTTAAAACAAATGAAAATTGAAATTTAAACGCAAAAGGATCCCCAAATAGGTCCGGTTAACTAGCAAAAAACGCATAGATGGTTTTAACAATGGAAATATATCCTTAAGGTTTTCTTTCTAGTGATACATAAAATTCTGCTGGATGTCAAAACGTCAAAATTAGAAAAACCACTTCTTCACGTATACAGTTGACTCGCGATATAGTGAACATGAAGTACTCAAAATAGTGAACAGACAATATTTTGAACCAATAGCTTTTGTTCGTAAACCAGCACGTCGAAACAGGGAAACGATTTTAATATTTTCTTTTGTGTAATTGGATCACAGCAGTCTATTGCAGATTTTGATTGATCAGGCCGTTACACAAGTAAAGTCTGTTAAAAAAATAGGAAACATGATAAGAGTTCAGGTATTAGAGAACTTAAAGAAATGCATCGCAGTGACTGTTTTATCCAAAGAATATGGTGTTGCCAAATCTACGATATGCACTATTCGAAGCAGAAGGGTAAATAAATATTTTAGAAAGAGTCAATAATACTTATAACAGGCCAGGAAAAATGAAAACCTTAAAACGAATAATTAAGAAATGAAATGGTCCAAAAAGGGTTTATGAGACAAAACATATAGAGATCCCCTGAACTAGTTGTGCATTAATTAGTTCACTATATTACGAGTCTACTGTATTCAATAAACTATGAAGTAAAAGAACTTTAAAATAAGACGTCATTGCTGCAGCTTCAGCTCGTAAAAAACGACCATCAACTTCAAAAAAATTAGTGGCAAATACATTTTTTTGAAATTGTTGAGCTTTTTTGCTAATTCTTTTCTGGCTGGTTCACATCAAAGGATTCCAGTTCTGGTAGATATTTCATATTTTCAGTATTACACTTTTTGGTGGGAAATACATTTGAAACAGGAGACTATTTGGAATAAATAAAAAAATAACTAAATAAGGCCTCATTCTGATAGTATTTTCATGTCTCGTAACTTTCCTTAAATCAGTTTTACCAATACTTCACGCAGATTTTTTAATAATGAGAAAAAGTGGTTTTGTCAAGTTTGATGGTTAATAAAAAAAGTTACCCAGCAAAAGTTTTTGTTTTTCTACCTAAAGAAACTTTTCATTAGCATTCAATAAAATATTTTATAGTACTTGTGAAATTTGTCTATTGTTTTTTTTTGAAATTCTAAAATACCAATTTAAACATAATTAAAACTGCTCTTGTATTCAGACTTTCCTATTTAGTAATTCATTTAATAGGGCAACAAGTAATAAAATAATAATAATACCGAAATAAAATGTTCATAATGTTTATTTCATCTATTTTGTATACAAGCTTGTTCTGCATTATTATTACTCAAGAATGATTGTAATTTGTATCAATAAAAAACCCCCATACTCCAACTCTGCTACTCGATGCTTTCCAAATTCATAATAATTTTTAATATAGTAGTCACAAGATTTATTTAGAACGTTTGGCTATGTAAACAGAATATTTGCAAGCAACTTAGAATCAGTAAATTTAAGCCATGGGATATAAATGCTGGGCAAGCTATAATTCTGGATTTAACAAGTGATTCCTCACTTTTACTTTGCATTTTGTCAAAGTTTTCTGGTCTTTTATTGCTATAAACGAGGGATGTCTTTTAAGTTTTGCATATAGAAACATAGTAGACCGCGCGGATCGAACGTCAGTACTGAATCTTAACCTCACTCTTTAGTAAACTTAAATTCAAAGTTTCACAACAATACGTCCAGTGTTCTCACTACAGTGAATTTTTAAGTGTCATCAGAAAGATGTAACTCAACCGAGAACATTTTCGCGCCATAATTTATTACAACTTTCAGAGACAATTATCGTAACAAGAATGCCTTACTGAGTTACTGTCTGTTTTCGGCAACGAAGCGCCACATCAGTCGACAATTTCCCGTTGGTATGGAGAATTCAAACGTGGACGGGTGAGTCTTAGCAACGATCCCAGGGTGGGTGCACCAAAACGGCAGTCACCCAGGAAAACGTCGATGCTGTGCGCAAACTTATCATTGAAGATAGTCATGTGACATATCGCGAGATTGAGGCGTCCTTGAAGATCTCAAAGACCTCAAATCAAAAAAGTTTACATGAAGAATTAGGAGTAAGAAAATTAGTTTCTCGTTGGATACCCCACCTGTTGACAGACGAGCAGAAAGCAGCCAGGGTTAATTGGTGTCAAAAAACGCTTGACCGTTTCAGTTCCGGAAACTCAAAAAATGTGTACAGCATTATTAGTGGTGATTAATCGTGGATTTACTATTATGAACCAGAAAATAAACGATAGTCGGCTGTTTAGGTGTTCCAAGGTGAAGAAAAGCCAACAAAAGTCATCCGTTCTCGAAGTATTACGAAAAAGATGGTCGCGACATTTGTGTCAAAATATTGCAACAATTCCTCTTAATGAGCAAAGCGGATTGGTATACCACCATTTGTTTGCCAAAAGTCATCACCAGGCTTCGAAAAATCAACCACGAAAGAAGAATCATCCTCCACCAAGACAATACAAGCTCGCACACAGCCCAAAAAACAAGGCAATATTTAACGGAAGAAATCGTGGAATTATTGGCCCATCTTCCATATCGTCCTAACGATTTCTTTACTTTCCCGAAAATTAAAAGCAGACTGCGTGGTCAAAGGTTCCAGTCACCAGAAGAAGCAGTTGACGCATTCAAAAGTGCCGTTTTGGATCTACCATCAAACTAGTGGAATAAGTGCTTCTAAAATTTATTAGAGTGCATGCAGATGTGTATTAATCTTCGTGGAGAATACTTCGAAAAACAATAAAGTCATTAAAAATGATGTTTTTTAACAGAGTTTACACACTTTTCACAGTTCAACCCGAACTTAAACGCAACTTAAAGCGAGATTAGCGAGATGAAAGAAAACACTTGTTCACGCTTATGATGGTATATTGCAACTACTCTGACATTACAGAGTGACATGCACATAGTGGACAAACACAGTAGTAACGACATATGACACTAGATGTCGCTACTTTGACCAATTTTAAATATATAACAGCTACAGTAAACTTTTGGTATACTTATTCACAACACTCCCACTTAACAAAAGTTTACTAATGGTTCTCTAAAACCTTTTAAAATATCTGTCATGCACAGCTTAACTTAAACCTAAACCCTTTACAAACTTTGAATTCTTAACATTTTGTAATGGTTTCGTTAAAACATCTGCAACCATTTCGTTAGTAGGTGTATACATTAATTTCACTTTACCTTCTAACACAATATCTCGCAAGAAATGGTACCTTATATCTATGTGCTTTGACCTATCATGGAACATTGGATTGCTAGCAAGCTTCTGAGCACTTTGATTATCATTATGAATCTCAATACAATCCAATTTTCCAGTTAACTCGCTCAACAAATTCCTCAGATATATGGCCTCTTTTGCTGCCTCGCTTAGAGCCATATACTCTGCCTCAGTTGTCGACAAAGCAACAGTACGTTGTTTACAGCTTTTCCATGAAACTGAACCCCCTGAATATTTAAATACATAACCAGTAAATGACTTTCTGTCTTGCTTATTGGACCCCCAATCTGCATCTGCAAAACCTGTCAAATTTAAATTATCCTTAAAAAATTTCATAGACAAGCTCTTTGTACCCTTTAAATAACGAAGTAAACGCTTTGCAGATTGCCAATGAACTTTAGTGTATGAGTTATTATACTGACTTAATAAGCTCACAGCATGAGAAATATCAGGTCTGGTCATTACCGAAAGGTACATTAAACTTCCAATAAGCTCTTGATATGGAACTTTTGGATCACAAATTTCACCACTGATATCGCTCAAGTTGATACTACTGTCAAGCGGAGTACTTACTACTTTGCTATCTGACATACCAAAACGACATAAAAGTTCATTAATATACAATTCTTGATCAATTGACAAACAATTTTTCGAATAATCCCTAGTAATTCTTATACCTAAACATTGTTTTGCCTCTCCTAAATTCTTAATTTTAAACTTTGAGTTTAAATGACCTTCAAGAAACTTCATTTCATTGTCATCAGACGAAAAACAGAAAAAATCGTCAACATAGAGAGCAACAATGGTTAACAAATTACTGTTATTCCTTTTAATGTACAAACAAGGCTCATATTTGGACTTAGAATAACCAATTTTTGACAAAACTTGGTCGACTTTTTCGTTCCAAGCACGACTAGATTGTTTTAATCCATAAACTGCTTTCTTCAATCTATACACTTTATTTTCTTTATCTTTAATGACAAAACCTTCAGGTTGCTGCATAAATACATTTTCTTTCAGAATACCATTCAAGAAAGCTGTTTTCACATCCAAGTGTAAAATTTTTAGATCTAGCCTAACAGACAAAGCAAGCAATAAACGAAAAGTTGAGTGCCTTACCACTGGGGCGAAGGTTTCAACATAGTCCACACCCTCTCTCTGTGTGAAACCTTTAGCCACAAGCCTAGCTCTATACCGGTTATGGCTATCACTCTTCACTTTATATACCCACTTGCACTGCACCACTGTACCAACTTCTGGCGGATCTACTAATTCCCAAGTGTCATTATCGATAAATGACTGTATTTCTTCTGACATAGCTTCTTTCCACTTCTGCCCATCTGGCCTTGAAAGAGCCTCAGTCACTGATGTAGGGATACTCGAGTCATAGACTTCACCCTTGCTGTTAACACCTCCAAAATATGTCACAAAATCTTGAAAATTCTTCTTCTTGATCTGTCTTTGGGATCTTCTTGGAGTTACTTGTTCACCATTATCAAACAAGTCATGGCACTGACCTTCAGGCACATATTCATCATCATCCGAGAAGTATACATCATCTTCAGAAGATTCATCATCTGAATACATGGGATTCTGCTCTCCCACTGAATCTGGAACTTCCCTTTGCTTATCTGGAACACTATCCGGCAACACTGTACTTGGAATTTCCAAACTTGGTTTCTCTATGATTGTTACATCACGGCTTACTATGACTTTCCTTGTTCTGGGGTTAAAACACCTATATCCTTTGGTAGTTTCATCGTACCCAACAAGCACATGCTTCACTGACTTCTCGTCCCACTTGTTCCTACTGACCTTCGGAACATGAACCATGGCGGTACTCCCATATACCCTAAGATGACTAAGATTTGGTTTCTTACCTGTCCAAATCTCATATGGTGTCATTGAAAGCTTTGAACATGCTGAACGGTTTTTCAGGTAACAAGCAGTATTACACGCTTCCGCCCATAATGCCTTGGTCAAGCTCTCATCAAATAAAAGACACTTAGCCTTCTCCACAATGGTCCGGTTGAACCTCTCAGCCATCCCATTTTGCTGCGGAGTGTGACTGCTCGAAGTCTGGTGTATGATGCCTGAATTCTTTAAAAAACTATCCATTTCTCTATTACAGAATTCCCCACCATTATCGCTTCGCAAAATCTTAATCTTAACATTCTGTTGATTCTCAACTAATGATTTAAATTGCTTAAACTTATCAAAAGTTTCATCTTTTGTCTTCAGGAAATATATAAAGCACATTCTGCTGTAATCATCTATAAATGTCAGGAAATATTTAGCTCCACCAATAGATGTTGTTTCCATAGGACCACAAATGTCGCTATGAATGACCTCTAGCAGTTGCTGTGCTCGACTGCCTTCTTTGGGAAAAGGTAAACGGGCTTGCTTGCCCCTACAGCATACCTCACAACTCCCAATGCTTGTACCATTACAGATAAGACCATCAACCAACTTGGCTGTCTTATTCAGGTAGCTGTCATTAATGTGACCTAAACGTTGATGCCATAAATTGCTACTTACAGCTTGAAAACACACTGGCTCCTCACAAACGTTCAACTTGTAAACGTTGTTATGTAGACTAGCAGTAGCTACTGATACACCAACTTTATTGTAAATATTGCATCCCTCTTCATGAAAACTTACTCTATTTCCATTATTGATTAACTGGCCTACTGATAATAAGTTAGTTGTTAAACCAGGAATATACTGTACACCTTCTAGTAAAATCTTGTGCTGTTCATTGGTCATTGTTTTGATCTCAACATCACCTGCACATTCCACAACAACTTTCGATTTGTTAGCCATTACAATATCAGGTAAGTCAGGCTTTCTCCTGTTTTTTAACCACTGGCTATTGGCAGTTAAATGCTTGCTGGCACCACTATCAACATACCAATCTGTGACCTTAAAATCACCTGTTGTAAACACGGCACTAAATCCTCCTTCAAGTCTGTTATTGTTAGGGCATTTTGACATAAAATGTCCTGTCTTTTTGCACTTGTAACACACAATATTACTCAGATCCTTTTTATTATGTCCATTTCCAAAACCACTGTTTGAACTTGACCTCGATTGAACCCCGAAATCATCTGTGTTTGTTGACATTCCCGCTTGGCTAGCACCAGCTGATTTTCCTTTGAAATTCGTCCTACTAGCGCCACCTCGCGACTGTTTCCGAAAACTCGGTTTCTTGGCGGAGAATGCACCTGCATTTCCATTACCACTAGCGCCATCTGTCTGCATATCCAATAACTTGGTCTTTATTGAATCTGTGGTTATGCAGATTCCTGAGTGCTCGACGGCCATGATCATTGGTGCGTACTTGTCTGGAAGACCGGCCAGCAGCAATGATCCTACCCACTCCTCGTCTATTTTGAAACCTGTTCTGCGTAACTTTTGGGAAGTCTCAACAATCTGGTTTATGTACGACTCCATACTATCATGATTCTCTAATCTTGCCGATATGAGTGTACGTAAAAGTCCAATCTTTCGCATGAAACCACTGTCATCATATAAACGTTTGAGACTGGTCCATACTTCTTGTGCAGTCGTTAAATCTTTGACATGCGGGAACAAAGATGGATCGATGGTTAATACTAGCTTGGCCTTTGCTTTTGCTAGGGTCGTTGTGTCGGTCTCGGTACCTTCGATGCATTTGTTTAAGCCCTCTAGCACAAACACATTCTCGACGGCAAACGCCCATTCATCATAATTCTCACGGCCTAAAAGCCTTGGCACACTCGTCAGGTAGTTGACGGCCATATTTGTTCTGTGAGAAACACTTGCGTCACGACAGTTTCTTTCAACGTCTCGATTCACTAAAGTTTCGCTGCTGGGTGTCCTACTGTGGGTCTGGGCCCGTAACCTGATGTTTTTTAACAGAGTTTACACACTTTTCACAGTTCAACCCGAACTTAAACGCAACTTAAAGCGAGATTAGCGAGATGAAAGAAAACACTTGTTCACGCTTATGATGGTATATTGCAACTACTCTGACATTACAGAGTGACATGCACATAGTGGACAAACACAGTAGTAACGACATATGACACTAGATGTCGCTACTTTGACCAATTTTAAATATATAACAGCTACAGTAAACTTTTGGTATACTTATTCACAACAAAAAACTACCTGGCGTGTTGTTTTATTTCCATATTATGCAAAACTTAAAAGACATCCCTCATATAATTTATTATATTCAATAAACCCTTGATAGAATACAGATTTGTAGCATATGTTATACTTTTTGGCCACTAAATGGAAGTCTTTTTTATTTCTGGGATTATGCAAGTGATGGTAAGCATTTGATGTTAAATTAATTAGACATGGTGGAAATATATTATTTTTTACTTTATAAATGAATATCATTACAAGATATTTGATGAAATTTTGTACATTGAGCCATTTTAATTTGCTAAGCACTAGTCTAATTGGAGTATATTCACCTTTATTCAGTATTATGCTCATGCACTTGTTTTGTAAAATTTGCAGTCATTCAAAAATAGTCAAGCAGTACAAGAAATTAGGAAGAATGACAGTATGATAGATAATTTTTCTGCTATATAAACTCAAGACATCCAGAAACTCTTCATAAATATCCCACTTTACCACTAATCTTATTTATAACTTTTTTTAAAATGTAGTTTTTGTTTTAGATATTACAGTTTTTCAAACAGACTTCCCAAGCTCTTCTAACATTCTGTTCATCTTAGGGCGTACTAAAAAGATGAATATCAAGAATACTGAAACAGGATATGACTAACTTTTTGCTATGACAAGGGTTCCATCTATCTAAAAGTTCACATTTCACAATTTACTTGAGTGAACTAGCATTTTTCGAGTGCCCTATGGATCTAGATCTGTAAAAGGCAGCTGCTATGACCAAAGTCACTTGAATAAGATTTTGGAATCTCACTTTGTGAAAGCTATGGTCAGTTTTTGTTCTCATTTCGTCGTACTTATCGATTTTATTGCAAAAAGATTAAGGTAATGCAATTCAAATTTTGATACATATTAAGTGATGTATATTGATGAATATATTCATTACTTTTTAATATGTAACAAGTCATTTGGGTTAGTTTCTACTAGAGATCAACCAATATAGGATTTCCGTTGATACTAGATACCTACTGATATGTCAGTGTACTATGTAACAAACATTTCTTTGGGCAGTAGAGGGAAAGGAAATTCAATGTCTACTTGGAAAGATGATTGCAGTGGACAACCAAAAATGTTCTCTCACTACCAATATTGGTTTTAATCATATATTGAAAAGAGCATCTTCTTATGACTTACCACCAGATAAATAGTTATGTGAAACTATCACCTCTGACATATCAAATAAAGTATGTTAACTCCTAAAAGCTTAATTAATCTTAAACAATAATATGCCAAAATTACATTTTAAATGTTTTTTCTGCACTGTTTTAGATAGAACATGTTTTCACAGTGTTTTTCCATTTTTTAGTTTTGTATTTAATTATCTGCTTTTATGCTTTTGCCAAATATTAAAGGTTGAAAATGGTGGTTAGGTTTTGTTCTTCAAACATATGTAACAAAAACATGTTACTTTACAGCAAATGAAGAAAATAATTGAAGTACTTGTATTTTTTATTCAATAATAAATGCTGTTCAACTTAATATAATATATTGGCAGCCTACATCAGCTTATGAGCAGTCATTTTGGCCAATATTGTTGATATGTCAAATCCATATTGGTTAATCCCCATTATCTTCTATACTTGCTTAATTTGGTTGGTTAATATCACATCAGTACTGCTAACTAAATAATTTTAGATAGACAGATTTATAATCTCAACAGTAGAAAACTTCATACCTGTCTAATTCTTCGTTTGATGTCTTCCTCGTCAGATGGAGTATTGCTAGTTTTCAAACCTGGAGCAAATATTTGACTAGCTACCCCTCTGCCCCTACCAGAGTATACATATACTACCCCTTCTTCATGCATGAAGTTGTCAGTGAAAATGCTTTGATTACTCTGATGCTGTCGAGCCTGATATTCTAAGACAGTTTGAGGTGGCAATGTAGGCTCATCTTCATCACTGTTATCTTGTATTTCACTCATTTCAGAGAACATATTCAGGTCTTGTTCAAAGTCTTCATTACTACGCCATTGACCAGCCATTTTAAACCTAAAGATAATTGAACTCCTCAATCACTAGAAACGGTAACCTTGTGTTAGGTGCAGAATATTAAAAATCACAGACTGTAAAAAGAAATGGTCTTGTCATTTGTTATTAGAGAGGTCCATAGGACCTTGGCTCTTGTCTGGCAGAATAAATAAGAAATACTTTTGTTTGTTAAGAATCTCAATGCACCTTTGTAAAATTTAGAATAAAACTATTTAGCAGGTAGAGTTCATCCACTTGTACAGCATAAAGTGAACGCAAAAATGGGGTCAATGTGGAATATTTGAACTTGTTGCAAGTTGCAACCTGCTAACTACACTACGTCGTATGATGTTTTGCCGTTATAGTTTCCTTCTAATTCGTCTTACCTTTTAATTAACGTGTCAATGTTAGAAAAATGATTCGATGCAAAGGTAATACTAATCATTCGAATATAAAAAACAATTTGTAACAACACATTTTACCACAGCTTCACAAAAAACAAGGTAATTCAAAATTTTTCGGATCATAACCTCTTACATTTTGTCGCCAAGCCTGACGCACCTGACAGTGACAGATAACAGGTTGCAAGCAGAAAACACAACACGGTTGCATAACTACCCACACCTAAAATAAAAATCCATAATCAAATCCAAGCGAATAACCAAAATTTCTGTGTTATGTGCCGCGGTTATAATATGGTTCAAGATGACACACGGGTTGATGACGTCCGTTACACGAATCGCTTGAACGCGTTGGTTTTAACCGCGATTTTGTTGCAAGTTGTTTATTTTAGAAAAGCGCGTATATAATCTCTGATTATTTTTATTATCACTTAATAATCGGTGCTTTTTCGTCTACAACTGTATATGGAAAGTTTAAATAAGAAACCTTTCATAATATTCATGGGAGAAATGTTTTTTTCAGATTTTTTTTTGAATGATGGAACCATGGCTTTGTAGCTATGATAACTTTCAATTCTCTAAATTTTTCCGCATGTCAAAGAAAACACTTATTGATTCAGCAGAAATGATGAAAAAAGATATTGGCAAAACCGTATTCAGTTGGATATCATCTAGTGAGTTTATATAGCCATATTTTAATATTCTTGTGGTATATGGCTACACAGGATAGTTTGTTAAGCATAGGAACTACATTTAAAGTGTCCCCAACAACCGTAATGAGTATAACTAATAAGGTGCTCCACTTTATGGTAAAACTGAAGTCAGCCTGTATCAATTTTCTCAAAAATGAAGCTGAAGTATAATAACAATATCCAATACCCGGCAAAATTCTAACTTGTCACATTTCAAATAATAACCAGAAATATAAAACTACTCTTGAGTTGGGTAAATACCACAATTTTTCGGTGATAACTATGACATATAACAGCTGATTCGTGACGTCACGGATCTTATAACCAAACTGATAACTACACTCGCTTGAATGGATCGGTAAATACCAACCCAAAATGGTAAATACCATTTCCATTTGGTTATCCGCTTGAATTTGATTCATCAGATCTTACAATAAAATCGGTCCCACACGATGTGGCGAATGCCTTACAGCGTGTGGGTGAGCGCTGAGCGATTACATGTGTCTAACGTTCGTCACATGGCACGTTCGGGTCTTGTGCAAGACTGGATGAGAAATATAGTGACTTGCATTTCATAACTAACGAAAACGATTAAATAAATGATAACTCTGAGAGTACTATCAGGATTTTTATGAAATTTGAACGCTAGGTTACTACTATGAAAAAGACGAAAAAGCTCTGCAGTCTTTGAAAATCGGTACAGTTGCGGTTAAGTTATCGTCGAAAATAAAAGGTCAAACTTCGTTTTCCGACATTTCTTAGGCTTCTGACAGACTTAAGTTTTGGTCGCTGAAGACAGATCTGAAATTATTTTTCGGCGCTCGAAAAAATTGTTTCATCGTTCATTTTGTATAATTTCTCCTTCAGTTGTAAAGGTTCAAGCGCGACACTGACACCAATAAAAGACGTTGGCACCACCATGCGTCGAACGTCCGAGTCTAAAAAGTTCATCCCATCGTGTAGGAGACACACTTCCCAATTGTGGAGTGTCGAACGCTGTAAAGAACGTTGGAAGCGTCGTGTGGGACCCGCATTAGCACAGTTATTATCAAAATCAATATAATCAAATTCAAGCGGATAACCAAATGGAAATGGTATTTACCATTTTGGGTTGGTATTTACCAATCCGTTCAAGCGAGTGTAGTTATCAGTTTGGTTATAAGATCCGTGACGTCACGAATCAGCTGTTATATGTCATAGTTATCACCGCAAAAATGGGGTATTTACCCAACTCAAGAGTAGTTTTATATTTCTGGTTATTATTTGAAATGTGACAACTTAGAATTTTGCCGGGTATTGGATATTGTTATTGTACTTCAGCTTCATTTTTGAGAAAAATGATACAGGCTGACTTCAGTTTTACCATAAAGTGGAGCACCTTATTAGTTATACTCATTACGGTTGTTGGGGACCCTTTAAATGTAGTTCCTATGCTTAACAAAGTATCCTGTGTAGCCATATACCACAAGAATATTAAAATATAGCCATATAAACTCACTAGATGATATCCACCTGTATACGGTTTTGCTAATTTCTTGTTTCATCATTTCTGCTGAATCAATAAATGTTTTCTTTGACATGCGGAAAAATTTAGAGAATTGAAAGTTATCATAGCTACAAAGCCATGGTTCCATCATTAAAAAAAAAAATCTGATAAAAACATTTCTCCCATGAATATTATGAAAGGTTTCTTATTTAAACTTTCCATATACAGTTGTAGACGAAAAAGCACCGACTATTAAGTGATAATAAAAATAATCAGAGATTATATACGCGCTTTTCTAGAATAAACAACTTGCAACAAAACCGCGGTTAAAACCAACGCGTTCAAGCGATTCGTGTAACTGACGTCATCAACCGTGTGTCATCTTGAACCATATTATAACCGCGGCACATAACACAGAAATTTTGGTTATTCGCTTGGATTTGATGCTTCAAACCACCGAATAACCTGGGCTCTTGTCAAACCACTCTCCGTGAGCCTGCTGAAGTTCAGCAAGAGTTTCCGTCGCACTGTGCCCACGTCTGAAGCAAAACCTGGTAGCACACCATTGCTCGAAACTGATGTCACTCATTTTTAGAACACAATAGGAAAAACGCTATCGGCAACTAAGTGACTCAAGCGAGTTCCAACTTGTACTGAAGGCGGATCACATGTTCCCCTGTCTCCCCTCCAGGGCCAGCGCCTCCAGGGTTGCCAAATAGAAGGCTACGTTGCCAGCTTCATTATTTAATATACCTACCTTGTATGTTGTACCTATCTAATGTGATGATAGAAATGCAAAAACTAAGAAGTAGTTTTGAGTAGATACATATGACTTTTGAATTTCATGACGATATCATTAATCCGCCATAAGGATTTATGTAGCTGGGGCGTTAAGTTATCGCTTATGGCCCGCGGCGCGGAATTTCCAAGGAACATATTTAATTTGAATATAAATTTAAGTAAATTGACTGCACTATATCATCTGATGCCTGTTATTGAAACCGTTGCCTAGCAGCAACTAATTACTCAGCCTGATAGCGGATGGTAGAGTTAGTTTACCACCCTAAGTACACTTTAACGCTCGGTCGTAACAAATGCATGGGTCAAAAAATTAAGATAAACACTTCTTCCGGGATTCCTTATCGCTGCAGCTGATAGAAATTCCACATTTTACTACTTTATTGCAGTGTTATAAATTAAATATGATTCCTCTGATACATTCTAAAATCGATTCTTTTTCTCAAAGCGTAGATTATTACAGCGGCTATACATGGGTGGTCTAAGCTTACATCATGGTCAATTTTCAGCTGTTTTTGTTTATTTACGAAAACAATACAAAACACCTTTTAGTTTGCAATTTCACTAGAGTATATTATAATAATTTGATTTGATAAAGATGGGTACATTTCCGGCACACCGCCTAGACCTAGATTAATGTACTTATATCAATAAGCATGTGCTTCACTGCTACGGTTAGGTCAGCATAGTATCGTGGCCGCTAACTTTCTCTTATCTGTTTCAATGTTTATCCATGTACAGCTATATAAAACCGAATACCAAAAACAAAATCTTATCATACCTCAAATACTTGTACTAAATGTCCATACGGTTTATTTTACTTTTAACCTAACTGTAACATGTTATAGCTTTAACACAGTATTAATTCTGTTTCTGAGATTCCATATAGAGCCCTTATATAAATCAGCACTTAGTGTTCACTTGGCAGGGTGAGTATACCTTTTTTTTGTTATGAATACTATTTAAATGCATATACAAGGTCTTCTTAAAGTTGTTAGTTTCCTTCGCGGCTAGATGCATAGTTTTTGTGAAAAGTAATACATTTTTCTTATAACATATACCTATACCGAATATTGATATAACCAAGATATTTGGTTCCAGAATAAAAACGAGCTTGTAGATATATGTGTATCCAAATTGCTTTCCCCAACGTTTCAATCCTTCTTCACGTATCTTTGTATGTCTCATATACAGGGTGTTAAATTTAATCTTAGTTTGCTTTATAAACTATGGTCCAAAAATGTTTCCTTACAGTGTTGAAGTTTTAGGAAAAAAATGGAAATAATTAATATTTTCAGACCCGCTTCAGATATTTCACTGATATTTAGTACGTAGTGAAAGTTGATAAAGTTGCATATTTTTCTATGCAAAAATAATTTTTAGCTTTAACAGTGGCGTGCGTACGAATATTGACTTCGATATTTTTTAATAACAAATTTTTACGCCAATGGTGTTTTGCCAAATAAAAACAATATTATATATAAAATTATTTTTGAATTAGCCGTTCAATTCAAAACAAATGATCTATCTTGAATTGTTTTTCTTCGATGCGCCATTTTTGAGTAAAAAAGTAAAAACCGTTCTATTGTCCGAGAAAATTAATGTAATAATTGAAGAATGCAGTTTAGCAATAAATATCTAGTTACTCTGGAATATGTCACTGGCTTTTGACATCTGACAAGTCTCTGTTATTCAAATCTGTTTGCTGAGACATCGTTCTCATTATTTAGTTTTTACAATCTTGTTAATAATGGTGAATTATTCAAATGCAGCAATGGCGGAAATGGATAACGTATATGGCCTTGCCGACGGTAATGGTGAGCAAGCCAGACGGATTTATCACCAGAGATATCCCGATCGTGCTTTGCCAGATAGTCGAACCTTTTCTAATATTCATCGTCGTCTTGTTGAAACTGGTTCTGTCCGAAAAGGAACATCTGAAGGTAGACCTCTAAGTGCGAGAACACAGAAACAGAATTACTTTTGGAGATACCGAAATTGCAAAGACACTTAAAAGCCGCTAATGTTAAAGTTTCTGATTGGGTATATCGAATTTTTTTAAAGTTTATTTTAGAATGGGATTTTACAGAATCTCTTCCAAATCTTATGGTTTGTTCATGCATGTCCGTAGCTTCATGTGAAAGGAGTTTCAGTAAACTAAAATTAATAAAGAACTATATGCAGGCAACAATGGCCCAATCGCGGCTTAGCAATATTGATATATACTAAGTGACATATACATCCGAACACCCAGTTTAAATGGTTTTATTGTAATAAAATTTTGTATAAGTACTTAATGAAGCATAATAAGTAAATGATAAAAATTTCAAAATGATTGCACTGCTTTAAAGTTCTTTGACCTTTAATATTGTGTGGATGCACCCTGATGTGCTACGCATTCTCCAACGCGCCTAGGCATGCTTCTGATCAGGTGGTCAATGTCCT